GAGTTAAATAATCCTAGTTTTAGCAGCCTCTCAATTCATACCAAATAAATTCCACCATAACTCTAACCATCTTCACTGACCTTCTCTGGACCATTTTAATCTCAACTCTCTTTCCTAAAGTGAGGAAACCAAAAGTGCACACAGTACTCTGGATAGATTGTAAGCATGTTTAAAAGATAATACAGAAAATCATGAACTATTATTTCTAATGCACCCAATATGCTTTCACCATTGCTGACACACACAGGGCTCACAGTTCCATTAAACTATCCACTGAGAGGCCTAGCCATATTTTCCCACTTAGAAGATCAAGTGGGCAAGTTCAGAATCCATCAGTGTATAGGAAATTTAACTAGTGTAGCCAATGTGCACCAGAGAAGTTAAATTTAATATATCATGTGACCGTCCCAAAGGTACTTAAATCTCATATCCTGCCATATCCAAACAATTTAATGACATCAGCAAATACCACCATCTCATTGCCCATTTTCCCCACTCAATCACTAATAAATATATTAATACCAATACCCACCCCTGCGGAACTATTAATCTCTCAAAAGAGCAAAGAACAGTCATTCCCTACATTTTTCTCACCTACTCAGTTTTTAAATCCACCATAAAACTTCATTTCTTAACCAGTATTTTCTTTAGTCTTACAAAAGGAGTTTTTAAATAAAACCCTATAGAATCAGCTTCATTTATTATTTTATTAATCTTCTTAAAGAATTGTATACAGGTTTGACAGCTTTTACAGTGGGGAATGAAAAAGTATCTTACAAAGTCAGTACTGGTTTGACCTTCAGTTAATATTTATTCAAGTGTAGTGTCACACTATCCACAATTAGTTTCTCAATCAGCTCCCCTGGAATTTAGGGGAGATTTCCCATTCCATAATTCCCAGGATCTCTTCTGGCTCTTTTTGTTTGATTGTTTTAATAAAAATTAGTTGTAGCACATTACATCTCCTCACCAATATCTCCACTATTTAATGCTTTCTTTCCTTCAGACACCATAGATCTAGTTTTAGTGATTTACTGCAATGAGTTGCTTAAAATGCTCCATAACCTTTTCCTTAGGGTATGTCCACACTGCAACTGGGAGCATGCTTCTCAATGCAGGTAGAGAGATATGTGCTAGCTCTGTTCAAGCCACTGAGCTATAAATAGCAGTGTGGTCACATGGAACGGGCAGTGGCTCAAGCTAGCCATCCAAGTACATACCAAGAGGGTTGGGCAGGTTTGCACTCAGGTGGCTAGGCTAGCCCAAGCTGCCACCCATTCTACCATGCCCACATTGCTATTAGCTCAAACAAAGCTCCCATCTACCTGCAGTGTGAAGCAAGCTCCCAATTGCAGTGTAGACATGCCCTTTGAGACTAATTGCAGCACCTAGCACTACTGATCTAGGTTGTTGTTTTTATTTACGGAAGGTCTCAGAAGCCCCAAACTATCAAGACCACACACTGAGTTCTCAGATTTTGCATCTTAATTCTAGGTGCTCTTTCACACCAACTAGGAGCAGTTCATACTCTAGTTTTGAACTTGATGTTGAATTAAAAATGCAAACAGGTGTCATTAACAATACTTCAAGTCAGACATTTTTCTCTGTCTGTCCATGCTATAGTAGTGATAAATCAACATGTTGCATTAGGTCTATTTCAATGTGAAACTGATAGTGGTACATATAGATGTGATTAAATAGACATATACAAAGCACACTTTTTCCATTATTGGATCACCATTCTAGATTCAAAACTGCAAAATGATAAAAAAAATCCTCAGATGAGGCAAACTTGAGCTTCATCCCCCAAGCCAGAAGTTTGGCTTACAATCATAAAACTATTTTAGTCAAGTTACCAGGACAAATGACACTTCTGCTGATAGCCTTGGCAAAGAAGCCAAGGAGTCACTGGCCATGGAGAATGAACTGCCCTTTCACCCCTGGAGATGGTACCCTCCAAGTCAGTCCAGGCACATTGGCAGGACACCGTGGGAGGTTTGGACTGTTGCTTGTACTGTGCTTGCACTGAAAACAGAAGAGTTCAGCTGGCAGACAGGCATCTTTCACTTTTTCCAATCAAAGGGGGAAGAATTAGTTGGCAAGACATAGAGAGACTATTTTCTGGTTGGATTATAAGGAGGTTTATTTATTGATTGATTTTAATTGTGGCAGAGAAAAGCAAAATAGAACAGACTATCAACTCTACTAATGGGTTTAAACTGCAGATCCAGCTACTTTGGCTCCCCTGGTTATTAATGGAACTTTAAGGTGGGATGTACTGGGCTTTGAGAAGCTTCTTTCAAATCCAGTGTGGGCACACAGAAGTGTACTAGCCAATCTGCTCCCAATTTAAATCCTCTGCTCAACAAAGGTACTTGGTGTTGTTTGAGGTCATGGCGCAAACTTAGCAAGCAATAGCCCTCTGTTTAAAACCAATATCCCAGAGAGACAAATGTATGAACTGAAGTGCAAAACACAAGCATAACCCTACAAATCCAGACCTGCAAAATTTCACCACTTTAAAGAGCGATTCCATATCATTTTCAATTAGCTTTAAGACAATTTTTATAGCCCAGTCTCTGAACTGCCATCCCCCCACAAATCAGAATTGTCTAAGCAATACAAAACAGGTCCCTCAAAAACAACAACTTTAAAAACACTCACAATTTTTTTTTTCAAATGATAAACTCAAATTGCCATCCAAAGTGCCAGTTAGTACCACACTGGGGTCCAAAAGCCCAATCAGAATGTCTACACTGCAATTTTATAGCCCCGCAGCCTGAGCGCCCCCTCTCCCCACAGTTCGAATCAGCTGACATAGCCCCACCACAGTGTTTTATTACAATATAAACACACTCTAGGAGTCTGTGGCCCTCAAGCCACTAAACACATATGTACTCAAGACATGTATGTCCTCAACTTTAAGTATGAGTTGTCCTATTGACAATGGAGCTTCTGACATGCACATCCCTTTGCAGGATTGGGACATGAGGCCCCAATCCTTCAACAATGCCTTACATAGACACAAGAATCTGCTGTGCAGAGCTCACTGCATAACCAGGGCCTAAATAAGGGAGGGTACAAAAAATTTGGAGGGAGATTTTAAATGTCACATTGAAGCACTCTGTAAAAACCTGCCAAGAGTAGAGGAGATGTTTTCAAAAGCAGACTCAAAATTAATCCATGATTGAAGTTTCCTTCCAAACAAATCAGTGGCAGTTCTGGAAAGTAATGCAATCACATGTTTTAAAAAGTCACAGTGAGAGATGCTAAAGAGAAAATGTATGAGACCTGCAACCTCATCGAGACAGACCTCAGTAGGATAGTGAGAAGTCTGTAGAAAACTGGGTGAAGGGAGGAGTATTACAGTAACAGGTTGAACATGAACTCCCTAATATTCTTCACTAGCACTTGAGACTATGAGTCTAGATCACAGAAAGTGATCATACTTTTTTCCGTATCTCTGTAACTCTCACAATGGCATAAGAAACGCAAAACAAATAACCACCTTGTAAAAAATTGTTGTCCTGTGTGTTTCAATTAATCATTTAAAAATCTCACTCATTCAAATGATCACAACAAAAAGTCCTTGTCTTAGGCCAACTGCTAGGAACGTCCTTTGCAAGCAACAGAACTAATGTCAACTTTATAAACCTGAAATGAAGAAAAGCTCTGTATAAGACTGAAAGCTTGTTACTGGACTAACTTCTTTTGGTGGGAGAGAAAAATATTACCTCGCCTACTTCATCTCTCAACTTTATAAACAACACAGACCTGAATGTAGGCTACTTCTCTGGCAATTAACTGCATTTCAGTTTTTAAAGTATTATTTCTGCAACACCCAAATGCGTGCTAGGCTTTTTGCTAAGCAAGAAATACCTTATATCTTCTGTGTATGATGAAAGATTTACATTTTGGGGTTACAATTAGACATGCAAAAAATTATGAAAACAATTTAGAAACATCCCTCAAAATATCATAGCTTATGACAGTTCTGAATTAACTTGTCCCCTTTTCCCCTGTTATTCAGGTGTCCATCCCATGTATCCAGATCTGACAAGCCTCCTTCATTTAGGGTTAATTCTCTCCCTCCTGTACCCACAGCTTTCTGTAGCGTGTTTTAGTGAGATATTTAAAATAAAATAACCTATCATTTTATAAAGAGTTTTAAAGCCCCCAGTCCCTTTCCCGTCTTACAATAAAGGATTTTACTGAGTCAATGAGCATTTAAAAAAAAAAAATCAAATCACAACAGTTAGGTGGCATAAGGCGCCCTAAAAATTTAGCATAAAACCACAAAAATTACTGTATCAGAGACCCCTCTGCCAGCAGCAACATGAAAATTCAAGACTGCGTGTGTGTCCGTGTGTTAGGTAAGAAAACCCAAGCCCTCTCTGATCTTTCACCTATCAGTAAAATGAGCCTCACAAGCCTCTTCCTTTCACACTAATCTGGGTGAAAGCGCGGAGAGGGAGATGGGGTGGGGCGGTGCAGAAAGGAGCATGTGGGTGAATGAGTAAAACAAGTAAAAACAGTTACTCACAATCATCTAAGTCATCCTGCAAATCCACAAAATACAAAGGGATCCCTACAAACAAAAACAAAAGAGAGAGACACGGGGGGTTGGTTTCACAAGGCTCTCTGGAGAGACGAGAGACAGAGGAGGAAAGAGGCACGCACGAAGTTACACGGCAGTTTGGCGTTAGTCACCCGCACACCCCAACACACCCGCACACCCCACACGGAGCAGGAAGGAGAGGAGCGAGAGCTGCTTACCAGCCATCTTGGAATGGACATGGGGAAAGGGGGGGGCAGAGGGCGGAGCTCCCTGCGCTGCTTGACCCCGGCTGAACCCCAACCCCCCCCCCCACTAGATTTTAATAAACAAATGCTGCCCTGGAGGCAGGTAGCCCCCCAAGCGCCCAGGCAGCCCCAGGAGACAGAAAAATTACAGTCTTTAAAAAAGTATGCCCCGGGAGGGAGGGGGGGTAGTCAGGTGACTCGTATGGGCTGCCCAAGATGGCGTCTGGTGTGTGGCGCCTGAGAAGCGGGGGTTACCTGTAAGCGGTGACTGGGGGGGGAAGTGGCAGGGAGCCCTCTGTCTCCTCGGGAGACCCTCCTGCCTGTGTTCAGGGTGGGGGCTATGGTGATGCTGGGCTGCGCCTCTGGTTCTCTTTAAGGCAGCAGCCTCCCTGGCCATGGCTCTGAGGGAGCTGAAAGTTTGCTTGCTTGGGGTAAGTCACCTGCTGGGTGTATCTGCGGTGATAGGGAAGGGGGGGGGGGGCTGCTGTAAAGCCCCTCCCCCGGTGCGGTCTTGGTGAATGGGGGAGGGGATGGAGGAGGGGGGAGTTTCCCTCATAGAGGGATTCATTTGAAAGGTGAGGGGGGATTTCTGTCCTGTATGATCACGAAAGCCCTTAAAACTGCTTTAAAGCGAGGGTGGTTTGTGATGGTGTTTTTCCTGTGGTGAGAGGATATTTTTGTCTCTTTCCAGTGCCCGTGTTGATTTCTGCATCATCTGTTTGTGTGCTCCACAACAGCTAGTAAAGCCTTTCTCTCTAGGAAGAATTTTTGTTGTCTGTGTTTGACACACAAAGTAACACACACTTTTATTTTCAAGGCTCCCCTATTAAAAAAATGGTCCTGTGTTGAAACTGCTCGGCTCCCATCCCCCTTATGCTGTCCAAGGCTTTGATTATTTGAATAATATTTAGCCCTTGTATTTATGTAGTTTGATATCAGACACTTAATGCCATTTTCAGGCTTCAAAAGCACTCTCCAAATACTAGATAACGGATGAAGGAGACTTCAGAACAAACGTGGGTGAGACTTTAAATCTTGTTTAGAAATATATATGGCAAAATCTTCATCTCAAAAGACAGACGTTTTTAAAAATTCTTAGCTCCAAAATGAGTGCTCCCAATCAAAGGTCCTCCAAATCAAATCCAACTGAAGTCAATTGGAGCTTTTTCCTGGACTCACTCTATTGGGAGTTTTGTCTGCTACAAAACAAAACAAAACAAAAACAACGAAATTTGACAGGTTGGACTATGTATTTCCTGGTTCTAGATTGTCTTGTTCCCTCTCCCTGGAAAATTGGTGTATATTCCCTAATTTTGTATATCCGGTATTTGGGGGAAGGTGGTTGGCACGGTTGCTTCCTAAATATGAAAAGGAGTACTTGTGGAACCTTAGAGACTAACCAATTTGTTTGAGCATAAGCTTTCGTGAGCTTATGCTCAAATAAATTGGTTAGTCTCTAAGGTGCCACAAGTACTCCTTTTCTTTTTGCGAATACAGACTAACACGGCTGTTACTCTGAAACCTTCCTAAATATGTTATCCTTTGTTTACGTCAAACTCTACCTGTGAAAATTTTGTGGAGTGGGAAAAGGGGGAGTAAGAGAGTAACTAAGAAAATTTCCCCTTCTAAATGCCTCAGCCAGGAAATTACTTTCATCTCCCTTTCTCTTCTTTATAACTTTCTGTTAAACACTAAAATATGTAAGTGACAAGAATAGTGTATTTTTGAATTCCTCTCTCCTCTCCCAAAAAAGGAGAACCTTCGAGACGATTAGCACAAACTTAAATTTTGTACAGATTAGTACTGTAGTATATTGCTGATTATGCACTATATGTATCTTATAACTTTAAAAATAAACTCAATATTTGTCGATAATCTAAACTCTATCCCCAGATGTACCGATACTCTTTTCTTAACCTGTGTATTATATAATTTTTTAACATTAGCTTTAATAAAAAAAATTTAATCTGGGCTGCAAACACTGCAGAAAGCAAGCTTAAATGAAAGCAAGCTTGTTTTATTCAAACATTTCTTAATATTAGGTTTGGTAAACTATCTTTTTCAAATCTTTAAATTTGGGGTATAGATTACCTGATTCTCTCATCTGAAGATTGTGAAGTGGTTCAGCTATGTTGTGTTTAAAGGCATGTGAGCAATCAGACATCTTAACTTAGTGCTGCAAGTAGATGCAACTTGAAGCATGCCTTTTGTTTGTTTCTTTTATTAAGCTTGAGTTGTCGTAGTTACTATTCAAAAAAACACACAACCTAGTGTTAAATTTCTAATGTGTTTGGTGCTATTTTAAACTGTGGTTTGTCACCTTAGAATTCTTCCTCTCTTGCTCCACGCAGCTATGAGATTAAAAAATGTATTAGTTTCAGGTATGTCTCAGAAGATGTTTAAGATCTTTCATTAATAGGGCGGGACTCAATGACTCAGAGGCTGAAATGTGTTTGCAGTGCTTGTAATAGTGTGACACCCTTGATCTACTTGTATGTGTTAATTACCTTATTCAGCTACAGATGTACACTTTTAACAGTTGAGGTATAAAGCAGCAGCTTTCTTGATCTCCTGTACAAATATCCCTAATTCAAAACAAGCACTTATGCAGACTTTTTGAGGGGGGAGGCGTGGTGGGAGGGGAGCATACAGAACAATCTGTTTCAAGAGAGGAACATAATAGCTTTTTGATTAAGTCTTATACAAAGTTATCAAATATCTTTTATATCTGTTTTGGGATAATGTATCTTTAATAGAGCTATCTCCTGTTTTCAACATAAATGTTATTTTTTTGCTCTTCAGTTTTTCAATTTTGCTGCACTGAAATATTTTGATTACTAAGACCCTGATCCTAAGAGTTGTTCCACTTGGCTGGACCCGCACTGACTTCAGTGATGCTCTCTGTAGGAACTGGGATCAGTCTTTCCATAAGGAGCTTATTGCGGAATTGTGGTTTAAGGGCTTGTCTACACTGGCACTTTACAGTGCTGCAACTTTCTCTCTTGGGGATGTGAAAAAACATCCCCCTGAGCGCAGCAAGTTTCAGCGCTGTAAAGCACCAGTGTTAGACAGTGTACCAGCGCTGGGAGCTGCGCCCCGCCCCCTGTGGAAGTCGCTCTGCCGTGACTACACAAGCCAATGTAGTTGCTAGTGTAGACTAGCCTTAAATGTGCCTAAGTGTTTATGGTAGCTAAATTCTCATTGGTGTAACTGCTATGTTATTTTTCAGGATACTGGTGTAGGCAAATCAAGTATTGTGTGGCGATTTGTAGAAGACAGCTTTGACCCTAACATCAACCCAACAATAGGGTAAGACACTAAATAAAATGTATTTGAATTGTAAATAAGATAGAGGAATATATAATTTAATCCCAAAGAGTCACATGAAACACACTCTGCATGAAGTAGCAGAAGTTGGGTAAAGCGGTTAAATCTATCCAAATTTCATTTCAATGCAAGAAAAACGCATGCTCTGAATGCTGAAGTGGGAGTCAGGAACTCCTGAATTCAATCTTTGCACTGACACTGATTTGCTGTGAGGCCTTAGGCCAGTCATTTGGGGCTTGACCAGCAAAATTGCATGTAGTAAAAGCTGCATGCAAATCAGCAGTTACGTACATAACCCTCCATTTGTATACACAGATACATGATTTTGAATACCCAGTCACAACTAATGCAAATGGAAGTAAGTTAGTTTTAAAAATCTACACTTTAACTGCCTTACAGTGTCATTGTAATGCCTGAGATTTCTAAAGACCCTTAAAGACTAAAATGCTAAGTGTTAATATTCTGGCTTCATGCAGATTCAATGTTTATGCTGTAGGGCAGGTTTAAAATCTTGTCCTGTTTTTGTATTAATAATCTTAACTAAAATATCCTGTTAGGCTTTCTGGATTATGAACAAACAAGTGTGTTCTACTGCTGATGCAAACCTCAATATCTGTTTCTCATTCATCAACAGAAGAACAAGAATGGTGCCTCAACATAAAGTGGACAAAGATTTATGAACTTCAAAAATAACTGAGTATAGTAACTATCTGGTTGCTCGAGGTTTTTAAAAAGTAATGTAAAAACAAATCTCAGATTTTTCTAGGATGTTTCAAATTAACAATGATATATATTTTTGTCAACTGCATCTTTTTCTCCTTCCCAGATCTGTTTCTTTAATTAGATTAATATAAAATGCATATTCCCTTAACTAACAAAATGGGGTAAATACAATAACACTTCCTAATAAAGATCAAGTGTTTCCTTCATTCCTTTGAAATATCTAGTTTTCCTTTTCTATGTTTTAATTATGGTGTACAAAATTGGATTAAATACAATCATGCTGTTTAGAAATCCTGTTCTTTTATTAACAAAAACTATATGTAAGAACAGACACCTAGATCATTTTATGTCAAAACTTAAGGGCTACAAGTTTTTATCTGTTAATTAATCTACAGCAGAGGTTCTTCATGTAGGGTTTGTGAGTGCTCTGCCCTTTCCATATTACTAAATGGAGTGGGAGCAGGGAAGTCCCAGCTAGATGTGGGGGCAGGAGGTTATGGAAAAGCTGTGTTGGGATAAAAAAGCTTGAGAATCATTATCTGCAGATATATTCATTACAGGCGCTATATTTAAAGGTGTTCAGGTGCCTAAAGATGCAGATAGGCACCTCAGCTCCCAGTTGCTTTTGCAGATCCCATTGAAGTGCCTATCTGAATCTCTAGGCACCTGAACACTTTTACAAATCTGTCCTTGCTTCTTCTTCTTTGGACTGATGGTTGGATAGCTATCTTGTGCAATCATTGCAACAACAAAGACCCTGATCCTGCCACTGGATCCATGCACAAGTGTGGCCAAACATCTACATGCAGTCACTAAGTAAACTGGCAGGATGATATGAACTCAAGTGCTACAGCTCTGCCTATCTTGTATCGCATTCAGCCATGCTAGTACCACCAAGATAATCCAGTGCTTGTGTAAGATCCGTTCATGGATGAAGAACAGATGGGGCAAAGATGAACCTGAGCAAGAGAGGTTGTGCTGGAGGGCAGAGTTTACAGCGCAGATGCTGTCTCCTTTGGCTGAGGGTACACGCTTACAATTTGTCAATTCAGTCCATAGTTTAGGAGTGGTCCTGGTGGCCTTTCTGTCCCTAAGCGCTTACATAGCAGTAGCTGCGAGTTACGCTTTGCTTTCTACCATCTCCATTTGACTAGGAGACTCTCTTCCATCCTGTAATATTATACCCAAGGCACTAAAGGGCATTCAGGGCATTGCCATGTCCCATCTAGACTACAGCAATGTAATATACCTGGGCATGAAGTCATCAGCCCTTAGGGAACTCCAAGTAGAACAGAACACTGCTTAAAGTTCCAGGATGCTGAGGAAACAGTCTGCTTCTGTTGATCAGCAGATCTCTCTAGTTTGTGCACCATCTCTGCTTTTCCACTGCCTGACTATTATAGATTCTTGAATGAGAGCGCAAGCTGGTTGAAGCTTAACCCAGCTTAGCTGGATGTGATGCAAGTTGTTTGAGGCAAGCAGCTAGGAGTTGCTGCCTACTCCAATATTGAGGATAATTAAGGTAGTTACAATTCAGGGGTATTTTTGGATTGCTGTTGGAGTCCCAGATAGCACTCTGAGCCATAAAAAGCTGCCTTTTTTTAATAACACTTGCCACAACGAAAATCTTCATTTCTCTCAAATGCAAAGCTTGGTGACCTCCATTTTGGACTATACAACATGCTCTATGTGGAACTGTCCACAAAGATAACTCAGAATATTCAGCTGATTCAGAATAGAGCAGCACAGCTGCTGAATAGGAGTTTCTGTAGAAAATGCATTACACCAGTGTTCCATTGACTGTACTATCTTCATATACTCTTCAGGGTGCTGGTTGATTGGTAAAGCCTAATTTGTTTTGGCTTCTAGCTACCCAAAAGACTTTCTCTCTCCATGTGTCTCATTCCAGCCACCACTGTCAGATGAGACACTCATGCTAACAGTCCCTATATCTGAAGCTCTGGGGATGGGAATGGGATGTTTTCAGTGGAGGTACTGCAACTCCAGAATTCACTTCCACTTTGGCTAGAGTTTAAAATTCAGAGTTTAGTACAAAACTGATTTATTTAATGGCGTCTTGCCTAAGGGGTGCTGAAGTCATATACCCTTAACTTTTATGCAGTGAGCCTTTGGAAGTTTTGGTAAACTGCTTTCCAACAATTATATGTCTAGTGACATTGGTAATGTGAGCATTTTTTAAATGAACAATCATAAATTTGACTCTGAACATCATCAATATAACTACAGTTATAAACAGGCTCTTCCCTAAGTGCCTTGATATCAGCAGTATATCCTGCTGCAATAACAGAAGCAACCCTAATGCCCAAAGCTAAGAAGAGTGACTTTTTCTTAAAGACAAATTTAATTTTGTTAAAAGAGAATGGGAAACACCTTAGATTCATTAAAGATGAAATAATTTAGTACTCAAAAGTGAAGAGTATCTGAAGTAAATTTAGAGTGGTAAATGAAAATGGACTACTTGCTCTCTGATTCGCACACACTAGAACAGAGCTGCAGACCTGTCGTGGCTGGGTTGCAAATGCTCCATCTGATGACTTAAATCAAAATACAACTGTATTCGTTGGAATCTTTAAAAATTGTTGGTAACGTTACAACTGATCATAGATTCTGTAAAATCCGTTATAAAACTTAAGCTTTGGACTAGAATTGATGTGATGGTATGCCATGAATATTTACAATCCAGAAGGCCTTTCTAAATCACAAGCAATTTATATTAAATGTTGGGGCTAAACTATTTGAGTGTCTCTAAAGAAAATTGGGATGGATACACTACCTGTCTCTTCTGAAGAAATTGCATAAAGATTTGCCCTAGTCAGATGTGTCTGGGAGAGTGGGTTGTGGGGGATGCTGGGACTGGGAGCACTATGGGGAGGTGGTGTGGGGAAAAAACAGTTGGGTGAGAAACTGGCAGGAGTGGGAAGAATGAGTCTGGCCGGACAAGGAGACTGGGACTAGGAGTCCATCATGGGAAGGAAAAGAGGGTGATAGATCTGACAAGGAGCTATGATGCAGGGGGAGAATTAGGAGTGGAGGTAGATTAGGATGTGTAGCCAGTCGGAGAGAAGGAAGAGACAGATTGGACACGGAGCCAGGGGGGTATAACTTGAACTGCCTGGGCAAGGAGACTTGGGAGAGGGAGTTAGGGTAAGGGGACAGAACTGTCTGGCTGTGAGGAAGGGGAGAGATTAGGAGTGATAGGGGCTAAGACTCAGACAGCAAGCTCAGGTGGGAAGAGCCTATGGACAAAGAGACAGGATTGAGACAGGTTGGAAGGTATGGGATGGAAGGGGTCAAGCTTAGGCAAAACAGGCAGAAGTATTTGTACCCACGACAGCAAAACGAGCAGAAGAGTCTGTGTTTGCTAGATCACACTCCCCTCCAAAGCCTGGAAAGGAATCCCAAATTCCTGAGTCTGACCATTCCTCTGCTGTCCACAAATATTTGTGAAACCCATGGTGAAGTATCTCTCCTTTTTCCCCCCTCCTCCCAACATGTGGTCCACATACAGTAGGACAACCTACTACTGCTTTCAGTTAGTCTTTTAGCTCAAGTAGTAGAGGTTTGTCCATTAGCTCAAACAGTTCCAACCTGGCCAATGAACCATGTGGGTGTCAGTATGATGTCACATGATAGAATTTGTGTTTTTCAGTTTGTTTTTTATGTGTAATTTCCTAGATCTAAGAACTTAAAAGTTAGAAAATAAAAAATGAAGATTAACTGTGCAACCTAAATTTGGCCCCTTTGTGAATTGAAAAACAGTCATTTATACACTGTAGTTTAAATGATGAATTAAAATGTGTATCCATACACTTTAAATACACACTAACAATCATCTGTTAATGGACATCATGTTCATGGTCTGCACACTTTACCTCATTCTCGTTGTGCAGCAGTGTTATAATGTAAGAAAGTGGCAGTGCTTACAATGCTTACAATAGACACTTTCTTTTAACATGCTACTTTCCCTTATCCTTTGCTCAAGTACATAATTAGTTACATTTAAATCCACTGAAGTTTGGCTCTCTTACCCTTGTCCTTTGGTATTAACTTGTATTAAGGTCATTGTAACCTTTTGTTCAGCTTGTTTAAAGGAAACTTAAAATCTTGCAGTCTTTGTGCTAGACTCTAGCTAAACCATCTGAGGTGATGGGAGGTTTTAACCTCCCGGGAGAACTTAAGAGCTTTCTGCTTTCCTTTTAAAAACAAATACATTAAACTTAACTATTACATGCTACCTTACTGTTGAATTGTGTTGATATACTCTGTAGCTGCCATTAATGTGTAACTGAAATTATGAAGGGCTTATTGTCATAACTTCTATGACCTGACAATACTTAGAGCCCAGGAGGACTCCAAAGCCTGAGTCACTGAACTTTAGTGTCCAATACTGCATCCTGTGCTAAAGACATTCACCCTTTGGCTTCATTTCTGTAATAGGCTTTGGGCTGGTGGACTCCTAATTTTGGTGGGGCTCTATGCAGGTCCTGACTCCTGTGTAGAGTTCACTGCAGGATCAGGGCCTTGGTTTTCATCTCAAACTTGAAAAATTCACACCCTATCTGGCACTTATCAAACTTTTTTTTTTAAGCTAGTAAGTTCACACAGGCCTTTATGCCATAGCATACTTCAGCAGGCAAATTCAGTTGCTGTATGACCTGTTGAAGTACACAAGACATCTTTATGGGGCCCTAGCTCCTATGCTAATTACCTGGTAAATATGCAGTATTTTGAAAGACAAAAACTAATGTAAAGAAACAGTTTGAGCTCTCAAAGCATTAACAAAATACACATGCCACCAAAATATAAAAAGTTACAGCACCTTGTACTCTTATTCTGCAGACCTAAATTCAGTGTAACGTTTCTTTCGCAAGAGTGGATGATATCAGTAACACTTAAAGCAGAGCTGGGAACTGTTTCCCTGATGAAGCAACCATGGTAGGTGTTGGGGTTGTCATCCAATTCTTGCAGGAAACATGAAGAATCCTGGCATTGGGTTCTGGCAGATTTTTTTTTTTTTTAAAGGTAATCTCTTTCACATATCTTGAAGCCCCATCATTACCATCCTCCTGCACAGAAAAGTTATATATATTTAGGGAGCTGTGGGGAGGAGGAAGGATTATGGCCCTTCTTTTGAAAGTGCTGGGGATCTTCAGGTTTCAGGAAATACTGATGGGGAGAGGGCTTGGGGGCAGCACTCTACACTGCCTTATTCACCTCCCAAACACCCAATTAAATTTTGGTGGGAAGTCAGCATTAACTTATCTGCTTTCAGTCTCTGCTCTGTGGGACTCCCCAGAATGTGGTTGGCAGCCAAATTTCATGTCAACATAAGTCCAGAAAGGGCTAGTGCACAGGTTCCATGTGGTATCCCTTCAGTAGTTCCTCTAATATTCATGTGCATTTTCGTGAATTTGTTGTGGTGTTCCTTTGTGTGGGGGAGGTGTGAAGAATGCCACTCTCACTCCCCAGCTGCTTCTGTGGCAGTGCAAAACCTACATCCTCTCACCTTCAACAGAAAAGTTAAGAGGAAGGAGAGTGCAAATTTACAAGGCTTCTTATCCCCTCTCTGATCCTTTGTACTGTATTCTGTTAAGGTGGAGTTCACCAGTGTTTAAGTGGTATAAGTGTGACTTAATTGGTGCATGCATCCTTGTCTGGGTCCTTTGCACAGTAATTAATTTCAAACATTATGTATCATGATCTTAATCAGTTTTATAGATAGTAAAAAGCACTTCACTTTTGAAAAAATGACCTGTGTTATGAAAAATTGTGGTATTAAAGTCAATTGAAGATATTGACCTTTTTATATATAAAAATTTGGAGATATGAACTAATTATGCTAGAAATAGTTTTTTCTTTGTATTTGCATTTTGGTAACATTACATTAAATCTTTCAGAGCATCTTTTATGACAAAGACTGTGCAGTATCAAAATGAGTTGCATAAATTCCTAATCTGGGATACAGCTGGACAGGAACGAGTAAGTAGAGATGTTGTTTTCCTCCTTAGTTTGTAAAGATTTTTTGTGTGATCAAATTCTGTAAATGTATGTTTTCACACATGATTCTTTCAAAGTACACTGGAGATAAACCCATGATAATTTATTTAATCAAAATTTCATCTTTCACCTTCGTTATTTGGCTCCCTTAGGGAAATAAATTATTAGAGAATGTGAAGATTACCTATTTATATAACATCTTTATAGTAATGGAAAGGTCTACTGAGACTTCACTGGAATATTAAGCACAATTTCAGACAGTATTATTAGAAGGATATTGACAAATTAGAAAAGGTATAACTGAGGAGACTATAGATAAAAGGAGAGCTATAACTATTGAGAGATTGGAAAAAACAGGTTATATTTACCAAATGGGCAGTGTCTGTCACAAAAACAGATTTGCAAGGTAGTGGTTTTTGGCAATAGTTTTACTTCACAGAAGCATTTCTATTTGGCTTTGAACATTTCTCTGCAACACTGATCATCCCAGGTTAATTGCACAAGCTAAGGCCCTGATTCTGCAAATGTAAGCACTTGTGTAGCTTTACTGATATGAGCAGTCCCATTGCCTTCAATATTGTAACTAATCCTGGGAGTAAAATTATGCAGACATTTAAGTGTCTGCAGGATTGGGGTCTAGATGTTTATACGCCGCATTTGAAACAACAATATTGGTGGAAAATATGGGATAAGCGGGAAGGTTATCTCATGGATTGGTAACTGGTTAAAAGATAGGAAACAAAGGGTAGGAATAAATGGTCAGTTTTCAGAAAGGAGAGAGGTAAATAGTGGTGTCCTCCGGACTGTACTGGCCCCAGTCCTATTTAACATATTCATAAATGGTCTGGAAAAAGGGGTAAATAGTGAGGTAGCAAAATTTGCAGGTGATACAAAACTACTCAAGATAGTTAAGTCCCAGCAGACTGCAAAGAGCTACAAAAGGATCTCTCAAAACTGGGTGACTGGGCAAGAAAATGGCAGATGAAATTCAACATTGATAAACGCAAAGTAATGCATATGGAAAAACGTAAGCCCAACTATACGTATAAAATGGTGGGGGTCTAAATTAGCTGTTACCATTCACGAAAAAGATCAAGAAAAAGATCTTGAAGTCATTGTGAATAGTTCTCTAAAAGCATCCGCTCAATATGCAGTGGCAGTCAAAAAAGTGAACATAATGTTGGGAATCATTAAGGAAGGGACAGATAGTAAGACAGAAAATATCATATTTCCTCTACATAAATCCATGGTACGTCCACATCTTGAATACTGCATGCAGATGTGGTTGCCCCATCTCAAAAAAGATATATTGGAAAAGGTTCAGAAAAGGGTGACAAAAATGATTAGGGGTATGAAACAGCTGCCATATGTGGAGAGATTAATAAGTCTGGGACTTTTCAGCTTAGAAAAGGGATGACTTAGGAGGGATATGATAGAGATCTGTAAAATCATGGGAGAGAGTAAATAAGGAAATGTTATTTACTTCTTCCCGTAACACAAGAACTTGGGGCCACCAAATGAAATTAATAGGTAGCAGGTTTAAAACAAACTAAAGGAAGTATTTCTTCACACAACATACAGTCAACCTGTGGAACTCCTTGCCAGAGGATATTGTGAAGGCCAGGACTATAACAGGGTTCAAAAAAGAACTAGATAAATTCATGGAGGATAGGTCCATCAATGGCCATTAGCCAGGATGGCCAGGGATGGTGTCCCTAGCTTCTGTTTACCAGAACCTAGGAATGGGCACAGGGGATGGATCTCTTGATGATTACCTGTTCTGTTCATTCCCTCTGGGGCAGCTGGCATTGGCCACTGTCTGAAGACCGGATACTGGGCTAAATGGACCTTTGGTCTGACCCAATATGGCTGTTCTTATTAACTTGATTTTTTTTTAAAAAAATATTTCATTTCTAATCTGATTGTGTTAGAAGTGCATGTCAGGAAGTTTTTCATTTGAAATACAAATTTTAACCTGGCATTCTTTCCAGAAGAAGAACTTGATGGCTGCTTTTGCAGCATACTCACCTTTTGAGGGGATGCAACAAACTTATTCAAGACTTACAAGCACACAAACTGAAATTAAAAAGGGAGTTGGAGGAAGTGTCTTTGTGCTGCATACTAATTACCTTGCTTATGAACTACAGGCAGCAACAACAAAAGCTGCAATTATGTATGAAGTTTTATAAACCTGCCTGAAGCTGTTCGGCAAGGGATTTCAATTACGTATTAGAGTTTCATTCTGTTCATTTGAATCCTGTTTGAAAGCAGTGGGAGAATGTAGTATGCTGAATCCAAAGTAGGGCAATCTATGAGGAAGTATATCTGTAAATGGCTGACAATTGGTGCTGTCAGCTTGTATGAAGTAAATGTTTCCTCTTTTCTATTCTTATCCCTGGAGTGATGCCCTATTCTTTTTTCCGTGCAAGTTGTCCAACACTTTGTCTAATTGGAAGAGTTGAAGATGTCCTCCCCCCAACTCTGACTCAGAGCTGAAGATTCTGTAGACTTCTCCCTCCACACCTTGAGAGTGAGGGGTTATTTTTTGGGAGAACATACATCTTGAGACTACAGTGATGTAGGAACAAGATTCTGATGCTTCATAAGAAGGTGCCAATGTCACCTTAGTTCCGACTAAAGAGTGCTGCTGACAGCTACCGCTGAATCTACAAGCTCACGTGCATCCATGTATCCTCATTCTCCCTTCCCTCACCTCCTGGCCCACACAGACAGTATGTTTCGAGTTCCTTTACAAACAATACTTCCACCATTCCAAGTGATCAGTTAGGGCAATGTGTCTTTTATTTATTTATTTATTTATTTATTTATATTTAATATATTTATTTATTTTTAAACGTGGAAGTATTAATGCTTCATAGCAATTCAGTCAAATACAAACTCCAATGTCATAGCACAGGTCAGTTACTAATAACCCAATTTATCCGTAACGGCTTCTGGTGTAAGAGCAAAACTCTCTTGTGCATTAGTGAACATACATGATGCTCCCAAACTCTGTTGGCCCGGGAAAGAAAAACTGACCAAGCTCAGGGCTCTGTTTTTTCCACTTGCCCATCAATCAAATTGGGCAGCCACTAGAAACCATGGTAAACTCTCTTTCCATAACTTCATGTGTCTTGTAGGGCTCTTGAATCCAACACTTGACTTTATATCAAGTACTGAATGTGGTATTGGATTTTATATCAAGTTTTCAGTGATTTGTAATACCAGTCTGATAATAATAAATGACACTGTTAATCACTTGTGCATCTTCTCCTTTTGCAAGATACATATTCTAATGGGAAAATTACATACTACCTGAACTTAATTTGGACAATGCTTACAGGATCAAAAGACTAAGTCTTGTAAGGATTAAAGAGATAGTGATAATGTAATGCATCACAGAACCAGGATTTATTCATACACAACCATAGTTGCAACATTTTTTTTTTTTCTGTTTTGTTTTCCAATACTGGTACTGGGGTTTTTTTTGTTTTTTTTTCCTTTACAAAAATGTTTGTACGGCTGCCAGATAAGATCTAATTTGTATTCACTTTTACACAGCTGGCTATGGACTGTCAAAAAAAAAAAAAATACTGTGAGGAGAAAATCTTACTGCAGAATCGTTGTACAGCAAAGGAACTTGGTGTGCCTTAAAATGACAGGTTAAGAACATTGGCTAGGAATGGACCAACTACAGAAAGGACTGATCAAAGCTGCTAGTCAGTTCGATCAGTGAATCTCCTGCCCTGAAACTTCCATGACAGTATTCTGTTTCTGCGCCTTCTTCAGCAGAAATTATAACAGTCGCTACACACTTTGCAGTTTGGATAAATTATTGGCTTTCTCAGGTTTACTAAGAACTGGCATCAAACCACATATGACCTCAGCCATCAGGGTTTGAGCACAGTGTTAAAACACAGATGCGGTGGTCCATATGAACCATTGAGTTCCCAACCAGTATCATCTGCTGTTCCCGATATTTTAGTTTTAGCATTTGCTGTATTTTAACAATGCACTTCCAAGGCTTATCAGTGAGCAGTTCTTTTTCAGCAGGTTGCACCACTCCTTGTCATTATAAACACCTTGATTAGCAACAGCTTGATTTTTAAGCTAGAACGCAATATTTCACCTGATGTAAATTTATTTCCCACAGATCTCCCTCTCCTTTGTTCCTGAATTGTTGTATTTGACAAGGAGGGGAAAAAATCAAGGACTTTAGAAAATGCAGATTTTCTGTGACTAACACTGTCTCTGTTGTAAAGCAGTTTCATTCAGGTTGGGTGTATTTCCATTGATAGCCAGTTCAAACTTTTTAATCAGATTTAAACAGTAAGTTAGAGGATCACTGACTAAAATATCTCAAGTGTCTGCTTCCATTATTACAAATAATGGCCTCGTATTTAAAAATGAAAACACATCAGTTGTTGTCAAGATATTTTTTCCCTCTTCTTTCTTTCCCTCAACCTACTATTTACTTCAATTAGTCATTCTAGAACTGTATTTCCAATAAGTTCTGATGTCTTGGAACCCAAATGCAGAAAACATTAATTTAGTGTGGTGTTGACTAGCTGGCATCTCCCCTCCCCCAGTCCATATTTATTTACTCCATTTCTCTTGGTGACATAGTTTCCATTTTTATATTCATGCTGATGGAAGCTTTCATTTTTGGATTGCATCACGCTTAAATTTAACACTTCATCTGGGGTACTTCTGCTCAAGTGTCAGAAGTAACTATTTCTCTTTCATTGACTAAAGTTAGTATGAAATTGCCTTCAACCACTATCTGAGTCTTGTCTATTGTCCATGCTGCCAAATTCTTGTGTTTATACTGATGCTCACTGGTAATTCTGTGTTAAAGCTCAAATCAGAGTTGGGCTGCAGTGCAAGAAAGCTGAATTCTTTGAACAGACAGCTGAAAGAAAATGTAGTTTCAGGAAACATCTGTTTTGTTAAAGGGAAAATGTTTTTTTTTAACTGCTGACTATTCCTAGGTGAGAAAAGAAATCAAAATGTTAGCAGGCAGGAAATGAGTAATACAAGATCAGCAAGGGAAAGCAGGATTTTTTTCCCTAATATAAATAGACCTCAAAAAGCCAGGTAGTCAAATAGTAGTGGTTTATCAAATATGTTTCCCTTTACATTCTAAGTACTTATGGGGGAAGGAGAGGATATTACACCCTTCTTGGATGAGTTGGGTGCATCACACATTTCCTCCCTCCTAAATGTTTGACAGGTATTTTCATTCTGTGCACTTTGTGTAAAGGCTTATTCTCAGAAGAATTTTGTGAGCCAAATCTAAATGGGCTGGAATTTTGTTTTATAACAAAGGAATTTTTAGGATGTAGAGAACTGCTCTCAGCTGAACTATATTAACCAAAAGAAAACTAGTATTTTATTATAACCAAATATGTCTTTGTGAAAAGCTACATTGTCTTCATTATTTTTATAGATTTCTTATTGAGTAGTAAATAGTGTATATAAAGCCATACATCAATACACTGCATCTATCAGTTAATTATTCTCTTCTTCCACTGACACTTCAGCGTGCTAGATGAGTTGTTTGTTTTTTCTTACCTTAGCAGAATTTCTGAACACTGCATCTAAAACAGTAGTTATTTTATAGTGCCAAGCATGTGTTAAAGTAACCATTGTAGTTTCTTATGCAGTCAAAAAGCAAGTAGCATTCGTGCAAGGATAGTAGCTTGATCTGTGTACTGCAGGCTCATTCAGATTTGTAGCAATTGTCAGTGTTGCTAAGTCCTGAGATTTCCTGCAAGTCTTATGATATCTGGTGTTTCCTAAAGCCTTTGCTTCAGGGGTCAGGTGATTGTGAGACTCTCTCAGCTTTTATTCTTCCTTAACTTTTTTTTTTCACTAACTCTTTTGGTTGAAGGGGAAAAGCTTGAAAACATTAATCCTAAATACCAGAAGATAAATAAAAATAATATAACATTTGTTTTTTTATCTCACTTTTAAGCCATTTTCAGGATGTTTTGGTTGGTAATAATGTACACTGGTTCTTTTTATTTTTCCTTTTGTGGACATGAGTATCTCAAAAAGGAAGAAATGTATTCAATTCACCCCACCCTTTCTCTCCCTCAGTGTTCAAAATTAGGCATATATCCTGTGTGTATTATCTATATCTGTATAGCTATCTTTTTTTAAATGGGGGTGACCCATTCCATATCTCACATAACTGTCAGGGTTCCTTCTGTAATTTCGCCTTTGCAACCTGACTTTTCTGAGGACTATGAACTAGAGACTGAGATAACATGAAGTCCAAGAATTTTGCTTCATGCCTTTGACATTCTGTATTGCTCCAGTCCCTTATATCCTTTCTTTTAATCCTCTCTCTCTCTCAAAAGATTAGTCATTGCTATAAGATTCAGCAGTATACTCTATCTTCATTAGAAGCAGCCCTCTTCTTACTTGTACTAGATTCCTGCTATCCCTGAAGCTGAGGCTTGGAACGGAAACCTCTCTCCCACATCCACATCTAAATGAACTTGTACAGACTGCCTGAATAGTAACCAGAAAATGGAGTTCTTTAACAGTGAGTGGTCTTGGAGGAACAGAGTGGTTTACAGGTTTAAATTATAGCTCTACTCCGCCTTCTTTTGGGAGTTAAACCACTTCTTTACCAGCTTTATCTGGATAAACTCAAATTTTGTTTGTTGTCATATGGCTTTATTTATAGTCCATTGTACTATAGTAATCTTGTACTACTAGCACCCAAAAGTATTCACTGGCTAGCCTTTGGCTAAGATTGCTTCATGTGAAGCTTTTATATCCTGCTGGCAGTCTCTTTGTAAATTGACAGGTTTCAGAGGAACAGCCGTGTTAGTCTGTATTCGCAAAAAGAAAAGGAGTACTTGTGGCACCTTAGAGACTAACCAATTTATTTGAGCATGAACTTTCGTGAGCTACAGCTCACTTCATCTGATGAAGTGAGCTGTAGCTCACGAAAGTTCATGCTCAAATAAATTGGTTAGTCTCTAAGGTGCCACAAGTACTCCTTTTCTTTTTGTAAATTGAAGGATACATTTTCCACTAACCTAAACTCTTTTCCTATACTAGAGCAGTGAAATTGGATTAACTGGTCAATGAGCCACATGATCTCTGGCACAGTATTAAATCCATTCTATATGATGTTTCTCCCTACAGTTCCGTGCTTTAGCACCAATGTACTACCGAGGCTCAGCAGCAGCTATTATAGTTTATGACATCACAAAAGAGGTAAGAGGAGATTATAGAACTATATTGCAAACCAACACTCATGTATGTTTTGTTTGGCCAGTTCTGAATCTTAATTCTATCTCCCTTCTCCATACCAGGAAACCTTCTCAACATTAAAGAATTGGGTGAAAGAACTTCGACAACATGGACCTCCAAACATTGTTGTAGCTATTGCAGGAAATAAGTGTGACCTTAATGATGTAAGGTAAATTGATGTCAGTCCAGTGCAGGTGTAAGTTCAGATACAAAGTGATGGTACTAAATATTTGTTAGGAAGATTAAGGGATTTACCAAGCCATGAAAGATATATAGTAATTAAAAAATGCAAGTTTTTTTAAAAACTAGTACAAGATGTCTAGCCCATTTTAGAAAGGCTTGCGATGTCTGCAACACTTCATCTTATTAGCAAATGTTGATCCTTCTGGGAAAGTTTAAGTGGGTTTTTGCTGACTTGCTGATTCAGGCACCTTGTTACCCCCACCAATATAAAAAAGGGTGGGAGCTGTTCTGGGGAAAGTGGATCTAGAACATGGGATGAAGTCCTGAGGAAGGAATTCTAGAGGCAGCCAAGTCTTAGAAAAGGTTTGAACATAACTTCTTTATTACTAATGTCTTGGTTAATGAAGCCAAGCCCCAAAAAGGGAATGAGTTTGGATTCTACGTAGCATGTGGACTCTTTTCAGAGCAGGTTGGGAAAGGCACCTGCTCACAGATCTCTCCTTTGTTTCATATTTTACTTCCACAACTGGGGTCTCGGCTAAAACAGGTGGATATGTTTTTAAAGAGCCATTGCAAAGTTGGTTGACATTGATCCCAAGGGAGACAGGACTGCAAAAGTCAGTCACCTGTATTTTTAAAAATACTGAAATTTCAGTTCCTTAAAGAACACCAATAAATCTTTAAGAAACATGTTTATAATCTCCAAGGATGAAATGATATGAAGTAAATGACTAAAAGCTAAATATTTGTAAGACAGATACTGCATGCTTTGTAGTGGGCCTTGGTGTTGGTGAACCAAACATAGTTCTGTCCCTCCTAATGGTTTGGGGCCTGATAACACCATAAGGTGTGCACACGCTACTCCCCATTGAAACTGATGAGTGACAGGGCTCCTGAACTTTAATGAGTGTAATACTTAAAATGCTGATGGTTTTGTATGGCTTTTGGCAGTCTGACTTAGGATTTTGCTGCCATATGCAGTGTACATGCTACTCTAGAACCTTCAATTTTATTGACTAGAATTATAACTTTAAGATACAAACTTTTTAAATCTACATGTGATACTCCTGGGGGAATTCTGCGCCAATAAATTAAAAATTCTGCACACAGTATTTTAAGATTCTGCATGTTTTATTTGTCAAAATAACACACTATAATCACACCAGTTTCCATTATTTTTAGTCATTTATTTCAAAATACCTGTCAGCAAGTATGTCTGTAACAACACAGACAACAAAATAATTCAAGAAATGTTTTTGACAAATAGATTCCTTACTAGGCATCTTAATACAGAGCTCTAAGTAATCATTCATTTAAACTACAATATAGAACTGTATTTCTTGCACCTCTCAGAAGCAGTGCAAAGGCTTGGGAGAATCAGGGGTAATGGAGGAGCTGAGGGAGAGGGAAGTAAATTGCTGGGAAGGAGCCTGGGTGTGAACTTGGAGGGTTGTTGTTGGGTGTGGATGGGAAAAGTATGGAACAGGTATTTTTGGGGGGGCGGAGAGGGATTGTTAAGGAGCTTCCCCCCCCCATGCAGACATTGTCTGACCCCTAGCCTCTCCCATTCAGTCAGGCACATCTGCCCTGTCCCCATGTGGCCCTGCCCTCCCACCCAGCCACTCTGCTGTCCCTATGTAGCTCTGGCCCCCTCCCCCATCACAATGTGGCCCTGCATCTCCCTCCCCCCCTGTGGTCCTGTGCCTCCACTCCCATTCAGCCCCTGCCCAAGTCTGTCCTCCCCCACTAACCCTTATGAGCCCCGGTCTGATTTTCGCTTCCCCCGCCCAGCCTCCCACACTGTCTGTCTCCCCATAGCTCCTGACCTGGCCTGACAGGTGCTGCGAAGAAGGCAGGCTCTTTTTCTTCCCTTGGTAGCCAGGAGCTGCTGCTGTTCCTGCAACATAGTGCCTTCTGGTGGGCAAAAGTTGGAACTGCAGCAACATTTCAGCAGAAGCTTTTTTCCTGTGCAAAAAATTTAAAAATATGCATGACTCATTAATTACGCATGCATGCAGTAGCGCAGAATTCCCCCGGGAGTAATGTGAAAATAGCATTGTAACATAAGGAATTTTAGCACTTACTGCCAGTCACACTGTAACTAAAGTTGCAGAAAAGTTTCCATTATACTTGCACTTGCTTTAATTCCATTTTTGGCTGAAATTTTGTTTGGTATCTGCCCTAAGGGGAAGTATTCTCTTAAAGCCTCAGGTATTGTTGTTGTTTGGGTGGGTGGGTCTGTTTTTCTGGGGCAGGAGCATGACTATTGTGCACTATATTTTATAAAACACAGAAAAATTGGAAACAGTTGAATATGAAACTTGGAACATAGAGTCCTTTGTGAGAAGCACATCCTTGACCAATTTTGGAGAAAAAAATTGTTAGATATCAATAAGGTTATTGATGTGTTTGAAAATTTGTACTGGGCATTGACAGTAGACAATTTCACTAAGTCTAAGAGTTTGCATTGCTTTCAGGAGATTGAGAGCGTGCATGTTTCCCTGAAGAGGGCACTTCTGAATGTATGACTAGAGCCTGACTAAACAAGACAGAGTGCACACTGAACAAAAAGACAACTGAATGCAAAAATAATACAGTAATGTGGCATTAATAGTTCTTCTTCAAGTGCTTGCTTATGTTGATTCCATTCTAGATGTGTGCGCACCCATGTGCGCAGCCATCAGAGATTTTTGCCTTAGCGGTATCCCTAGGGTTGGCAGTGGCACCCCCTTGAGTGCTGCGCTCATACGTCAGTATAACAGTCACTGCCGGCCCTACATCGGTCTCAGTTCCTTCTTACCGCCCATGGTGATTAGTCGGAGCGCCTTTCTTTCATAGCAAGGGCTAGCAGTTTCGTCTCCACTGACTTCAAGCCTTAGGGCCTTGTAAATAGTTTAGCCTTAGGGCCTTATAGTAGTTTGCGTTAAGTAGTTAAGTGTAGTTAATAGTTGAAGTTATAGTCCCTGAGGGGACTTTGCCCCAGGCAACCATGCCCTGGTCTCCTGGGTTTAAGCCCTGCATGGACTGTAACAGGCCTATGCCTGTAAGTGACCCCAATAGTAGCTGCCTCAAGTACTTGACGGAATCACACGTGAAGGACAAGTGCCGTATTTGTAAAAACTTTTGGCCCAGGACTCAGAGCGGGATATTCGTTTGCAAGCTGTCCTCCTGCCCTTCCAGCTTCCAAGCCATCCCGCCAAGACTCGCCGAGTACCTTGGCCTCAGTGCACCCCCAGCACCCGCTCCGCCCGGCACTGCTCCCCTTTGTCGGTGCCCAAAAAGAAAGCAAGGTAGTATGGCTCCCTGGCACCAGGCAAGAAGAGTCATGGGTCATTGGGCAAGAGACCCAGTTCGGGCTGTCTGGACACTACGGAACCATGTATAGATGCCTCCCCAGTTGGGGCTCTTAGCCCTTTAAAAGGTCCACCACCAACTCTCAGGAGTGGTATGGGACCCAAACCCCTGACTGCACCGATGCCTTCCCAAGCTCCCCCAGCGCCGAGAGAGCAGAGGCCTCCGCCCACACCACCAACACAACACGTGCCACAGAAAACGGCAAAGGCTCCCCACAAGGGCAAGCCAGCCACTAAGAACCCTCAGGGGGCAGTAGAGCACCACTGATTCCCCAAGACAAGACAGCATCTCCACTTCTGCACCGCAGATCATTAGAGTTGCAGCCCAGATCCTCTGGGGCTCGCCCTCAGTCACCAGCCCTCGATCGCCGTCCCCGTCGTTTCAGCACAGACCGCCTAAAGGGAGGCACCAGTCTCTGTACTACCAGCACTGTTGGCCCTCCTGTCAGTCGTCCTCTTGGCACAGATCTCGATTGCCTGCCCTGTGGGATCACTCCCCATCGCGTCTCCGGTCCCACTGGTGCTAGTCTGCTTGATACTGGCACCAATCCTCTTGCTCCAGGCATCGGTCTCCGACGGTGACAGTCAGCAGGCAGACTCAGGCGGCGACGGGCTCACTGTGGAGGGAATTCCTCCGGCACGGAAGGGCAGTTCAGCCCCTCACCCAGACCCCACCGGCACAATTGGGCACCCGGGGCCATGTCGACATCAATGGCACCACCTTGGCAGCATGGCCAGTGGCCTTATTGGAGTGCATGGGCAGTGCTGGTCATGACGTTGCCCCCTTTGCACCGCTCATCTGCACCGCCTAGGTGCATCAGTTGGCAGCACCAGGCTGAGTGCATGAGGTGCACTAAGAGGTCGAGGCAGAGGAGACTGCACCCACCCCTAAACCTGCCTCCACCAAAGGAGATGATGCCCCTGGGCCTCCCCTTGTGGTACAGTTGTTGTCTTTGTTCCTGGACGAGGCGGTCGCTGAACCCTAAGGGCCAGCCCACCAGATGATTTTAAAGTACACCAGGTCCTGCTTTGATGGGTGGCCAAGAACTTGGGCCTAGAGGCGGAGGAGATGGCCAAGCAGGCAGACATCTTGTTCAATGTCCTCTCAGCCTCTACCTTTGCCCGTGTCACACTAGTAGTGCATGATGAAGTCCTCAAAATTGCCAAGGCCCTCTGGCAAACCCCATCATCCATCCCTCCCACCTGCAAAAGGACTAAAAAGAAGTACTTTGTCACGGCCAAAGGATTTAAGTATCTTTATACCCACCCTCCCCCGGGCTCACTAGTTGTCTCTGCAGCCAATGAAAAAGACAAGCAGCGGCCCACCAGCCCAACTCTCAAAAACGAAGAGGCGAAAAGACTGGACTTGTTTGAGCGGAAAATGTATTCATCTGCCAGCCTACAATTCCAGGTGGCAAAACATCAGGTCCTCCTAGGCAGATACAATTTTAACTTATGGGACTCCCTCCGTAAGTTCAAGGAGTACCACACGCAGGGTTTAGCCCAATAATTCGGTACCCAGGTGGAGGAGGGTGCCACAGCGGCTAAGTGCTCCCTCCAAATGGCGTAGGACGTGTCTGACTCGGGAGCTAGGTGGCTGCTTCAGCAGTGGTTATGGAGCGCAGCTCCTGGCTTCAGACCACCAGCCTCTCTCAAGAGATGCAGACCTCGAACCAGGACCTCCCATTCAATGGGAACGGTCTTTTTTTCAGAGCAGATAGATGTGAGGCTGCATGGATTAAAGGACAATTGGGCCACCCTTCACTTGCTGGGCATGTATAAGCCGCAGTCTGCACAGGAGTGGTTCTGGCTGCCCTCACCGCCAAGGCCTTGGCAGCCTCGTCCAGGGTCTGCAAGGGGAAGGGATAGGGACATAAGTTTCAGCCGCTGCCGCCCTTCCTCCTGCCGCTCACGGAATCAGCCCAGCCCGGCTCGGCTAAGCATTCCAGGGGCCAGAAGCACACATTTTGAGGGTGCACTCGAGCGACACCCCCCCACCACCACCACCACCCAATCAACTCCCAGGATCCACCCCGTTCTTTCCTTGACTGTCTTTGTTCCTACCACTCTGCCTGGGTGCAGGTCATCTCAGACCGCTGGGTGCTGGACATGGTGTCACAAGGCTACACCTTGCAGTTTTCAGCCACCCCTCCCTTCCACTCACCCACCCTCTTTCCTGTTCCTCTTCAGGGACACTTCTCAGGAGCAACTCCTCGTTCAAGAGGTCGAGAACCTCCTGCGCCTAGAGGCGGTGCAGGAGGTCCCTCAGGACGTGACAGGAAAGGGGTTCTACTCCCATTATTTCCTAATTCTGAAAGCAAAAGGGGCCTCAGACCATTCTGGACCTGCGACACCTCAACAAGTCTCTCAAGAAGTTTAATTTTCGCATAGTCTCCCTGGCCTCCATCATCCCCTCCCTGGATCCAGGAGATTGGTACCCCACCCTCGACTTGAAGAACGCTTATTTCCATATTCTAACGTCAGACATTTCCTCCGTTTCAGAGTGGGCGGATGCCATTTCCAATTCACGGTGCTCCCCTTTGGCCTCTCATCAGCCCCAAGGGTCTTCACAAAATGTATGGCACCAGTGGCCGCTTACCTGAGACATCGAGGGGTCCAGGTCTTCCCTTATCTCAAAGATTGGCTCATTAAGGGCAGGTCTTGGGAACGAGTACAGAGAAGCCTCGATCTGGTGTGTTCCACCTGCCGCAACCTGGGCCTATTGGTAAACAAGAAAAAATCCACCTTAAGGCCAGTCCAATGAATATAGTTAATTGGGGTGGTTCTTGACTCCACACGAGCCAGAGCCTTCCTTCTGGAGGCGCGTTTTCAGGCCATGCCAGACCTGATCTCCCATGTGAAGAACAACCCACTCACCATGGCTCACACCTGCCTGCGGTTGTTGGGCCACATAGCTTCCTGTACATATGTGGTCAGTCGTGCCCAGCTCCATCTCCAGCTTTTGCAAGATAGGCTGGCGTCAGTTTACATTCCCAACAGGCACATCCTAGACCGAATAGTCAGGGTGCCCGATCACATCCTATCGTCCCTGGATTGGTGGATGAACCCAGGGTTGGTATTGCAGGGAGTTGCCATCGCAGCCCTGGCCCTGTTGCCGACCCTGATCTTGGATGCTTCGGACCTAGACTGGGGAGCGCACCTGGGCGAGCTCAGCACGCAAGGCTGCCAGCTGCGAGATGATCTGGCCCTCCATATCAATGTCAGGGAGCTCAAAGCAGCATGCCTAGCCTGCCAGGCTTTCTTACCCCACCTGAGGGGCAAGGTGGTGCAGGTCCTCACGGACAATACTGCCTCAATGTATTACATCAACAGGCAGGGCAGAGTCAGGTCGCCGACCCTTTCCCAAGAAGTGCTCCACCTTTGGGACTTTTGTGGGCAGCAGGCTATTCATCTGGTAGTCACACATCTGCCCAGGACTAGGAACGTGTTTGCAGATCGCCCCAGCAGGACCTTCTTGTCTCACCACTAGTGGTCGCTCCGTCCGAAGGAACAGAGAGGACGTAGGGCTGGCGGCGCCTGATATACCGACACATGAGCACGGCACCTAAGGGGGCACCACTGCCAACCCTCCGGATACCACTAAGGCAAAAATCTCTGATGATGGCACACGTGGGCACGCTCATGCTTAGAATGGAATGGACGTGAGCAACGCATCTCGAAGAACAACAGTTACGAAAAGGTAGGTAACCAATTTTTTTTCCTAGTTAACTTTAGTTTCCTGACCTCTCAAAGCAAAATTAATTTGTATGTATTTTCTACTCACATTTATTGTAAATGAGAAGCTTGACGTTAGTGTTAAATATCTACCATAAAATATATAGGGTGTGCTGCATAGTATGGCCTAGATGCCTGTGGGAACCTTTTCATTTCCTGTCTCTTTTGTCTGTACAATCTGAACGTTTTAAACTCTGCTTGTACAGAACATTGCTGTGTTGCAGGATATTAGGGTTTGTAAGCAAAGTCTGGATTCATTCTGAATGAGATGGATGTTAGAAGTAACATGTTTTTTCCTATAATTTGAGCTATTTTTTCTGAGAATAAAGGCCTCCCTTCCCCCTCTGCTGACTTCAGAGCTGCATTCTGGCACTTTTAAGAAGAAAACACATCCATATTTTCCAGAGAGGAAAATGGTGGTGGCTGCTGAATTTATATGATGGTGCTGTCCAAATACTGTTGTTCAGGCCACACTATTGTCTGGTCCTGGGGGTTACGTAAAAGAAGAGCTGAGGATAGGAATTGACCGCTCCATGAGGAATAGGATGCCAAACAGTTGACACTAAATCACTTTTTGAAATTACTGTTAAGTAGCGAGCCAATTTTCTAAAATTGGGATAATTTAATGTTTCTACTTTGTTCACAATGTTTTCTTTCCTTTTTAGAGAAGTCATGGAAAAAGACGCTAAAGACTATGCAGATTCCATCCATGCCATATTTGTAGAGACCAGTGCTAAAAATGCAATTAACATAAATGAACTCTTTATAGAAATTAGTAAGTACTTCTTTAGTTAACACATTATTTTTTCTCTGAAGGAAGCCTAAGCAGAAACTTGACTACTGCATTAGTTTGTAGTTCTATTTTGCTGAGAGAATGTTGGGTTCATATTTGTCACCGCTGGTAGGGATACAAGATTGCAAGATGATCTGCTGGTTTCTGATCCTCCTATGACCTCTAAAAGCTTCAGCCTAGAGATTCTATACCTACTGTGATGATCCACATCACTGGATAAATAGCAAGCAGGTCACTGTCATAAAAGTCAAGTGTCATCTTACCCTATCTGTTGGTGAATGTTTCAATTAGTAGATCAAGGTCACTGAAGGGTGAGTGAAGGAAATGCATGAGGGATACCAAAACTTTCACAAATACAAAAGGGGAAATAGTATTTCCAATCAGAGTTCCGTGTTCAGATTTGATTAGGGGAATGTATTATCCAAAGCATAACTGGCTAATGGGGAGTAGTAATTGTGTAATTATCACACAATTACTAAATGTGATTTAAAACCAAACATTTTTGTGTGGATTCCCTTTACAAAATTTTTGATAACCCTGTCCCTCAATTAGACCACAATTTTTTTTTCTACATTATTCCAAATTGATTCTTACATGGAAGACATGCAAACAGTACCACAAGGGAATACAGTGCAGTACTGCATTCTTATAGTGAGGATTTGAGTTGTAATTCAGCTGGCTATAATAAACACTGAACACTTATGTGCCGATATCTCTCTTAGCTTTGTCTTTTGAGTCAAGTAAACAGTATAAAATTAGAGGCAATCCTTTCATAGACAGATCAGAGCTGTCAAATGATTGTGAAGCTATTTAATATTTTTTACTTTAAACTAAAAAAATTTAAAGACTCCATGGAAGTAGTTAAATACTTTCTTTACTACTGACTTTAACTACAACTTAGATTCTTTTGTAACTATTTATGGAAATCAGGAAGCTATTTTTCTTATGCATTTAGTTGATTTTGAATAAATTTTGATGCTTGAAAAATGCCAAAGCAGATCATGTTGTTTAAGCATTAATCTTAGGGATATAGGGTGAGATCTGAAACACTACTCTGGCACTTTTACACAGAGAAAAGGGGCCAGTGCAGGGATGAGGAGTCCTAAAGCCCCGTATCTATTCAGGAAAGAAGGGAACCTGCCCTTCCGAGGGGCTCCCTCCAAAATCCAATCCGTTGGATTAAATGCTTTTGCAGATATCCGATGCTCTGTAAAAGTAGTTTCAATAATTAATGTAACTCTTGCTATAAACTTTTTTTTTTCTTCTTTATAGGTCGTAGAATTCCATCAACTGACACCAACCCCCCATCTAGCGGTAAGGGCTTCAAACTTAGAAGACAGCCTTCAGTGACAAAACGCAGCTGTTGTTGACTGATACTTTAGAAAATCAGACTTGTTTTGAAAGTAGGTGGTCTTGGAAGCTAATAGTTTATGTTGAGTATACATTATTGGTCTTAGAACTTATCTGCCTGATGTTCATACTTCAAGGTCCCACAAAAATGGACCAGCTCATCTGACATCTGTCTGTCACAGAAGAGACTGCAGTCGTGATAATGTCAGCCTGTTTATTTACAACATGTATAGTGTCTGTTGTATTCAAAGGGAATCCATCATTAGTTCTTTGGCCTTGCGTGAAAGGAATGTCGACATATGGATGGTAGGACTGAAATGTTTAATAGTTTTGTAATCAACATTATATGTAATGTTTTTTGTAAAAGGGAAACGAGCACTTTTGTGGTCCAGAGGGATGAGGAAGGGGGAAGAAACAGCCCTGTTTAAATAGTGACTTTAATCATAAGGCTATTCTGCTACCCTTTCAATTGTTATAATGAGCATTATTTTAAATATAATTGTGGCTAATCCAAAGTACAGTGAGGCAATTGGTTGTAGATGGCTACAAAATAAGTTACTGATAAAAAAATGAGCAAATCAGCCCATCCAGTCCCCAGATCCCACTTGCACTTTTTATTTAAAAGTAATATGAACAAACAAGCAATGAATTTTAACCCATAGACAATCTTACCTTTTCATGCTGGCTTAATCATTTAAAGGCAAACTGATACATTTATAAGCACCTATTTGTTTTAGTAAGCATTTTTACAATTAAAAATGGTGGTGGAAGAGAACCTAGATGAAACTCTTTCTAAATTTAAACTTGAGCATGACTGACTGACAACAGATGCCATCAATAGTTCTAGTAAGACTTTAATATTTTGGGGGAAAGTTCTTTATTGCTTCGCATGTGTAAAGTGTTTGTACTATATTTATGAGACCAATGCCTAAACTATTATAAATTATGTAAAAGCAGTTGAGAAATCAGCTTTCTTCAGTCTTTCCATTCCTCACCCATTGACAGAGTCCCTGGGGATCTCCAACAATTCTATCCCTGCTTGTGAGGTCTTACATTGCAGTGACCTCTTCCAGAAGAAGATTGGGTGATACTTCCCTCCTATCACATCTGCATTTCTGCTTGAAATGGCTGGTAGATGTTGCTGTTGGTGAAGCATGTGGCTTGTCCATTGAGCAGATCACCTCTGCAGTGCACCCAATCCTTGCTGGCTAGGCACACAAACAGGAAACCACATCCAAGTCATGTATGGTAGCGTAGATCGTTACCTCTTGGTTCCTGGGTCTAGCCCAAATAACTTTTTAATTACTTGGCTTTTTTTTTAAGCAAATCAGCTTTTTGCTTATGTTGTATTGTTTTTCGTACATTTTATATTAAACTATAAATTGACCATATCCTTTTATGCTATTTTCATTATTTATTTTTAGTTTCCTCTAGAACTAGTAGAGAACTTCTTATTTTTTAAAGGAAGAGTATTTTCAATATATGAGTTTAAGTTTTGATTCTGAAATTAAAGCCATGTCTGTGGTATTTGTTCTCGATTTGTAATTTGGCATTCTGCAATCTTAAGTATTTTAGCTGAAGGAGATTTCAAAGAATAAGTAGGAAATGAAACAGCTTATACTTCAGATTAAATCATACTCAGAATCCTTGTTTCAAAGCTATCCTCAAGCAAAACTATTTTGCTATTATCGTAACAGAAAGCATATTCTGAATGTGGTTAATAAGCTTTAATGAAACATTGGGGTTAAAACTTCTTAAGACCAAGATTTCAAAATGTGGCCTCTATCTGTGGGTATGCAGTCCTTTGAGTGTGCACTTCTGTTTGCTGCAATAGCATACACATGCTCAAACTCCCTGCATGTGCAGATGGGTTATGAGCATATAAAGTTTATTGTGTGTGCCCAAAAAGTTGCATGCACATATATGGAGGCTGGTTTCCCTAACAGAGAATCTAACAATGAAGACAGAATAATTATGTATTGGTGTGCATCATGGTTCAGCCCTAAGATATATAATAATATGATTGAAATCTTTGTGTGGCATTTGAAGCAATAGATTATAAACATAAAGTTTAAAGTTTTGTAAAAGCTATGATACAGTATTATATCAAAGCAGGCTAGCAACTGACCACTTAATTATATACAAAAAGAAAAGGCGTACTTGTGGCACCTTAGAGACTAACAAATTTATTTGAGCATAAGCTTTCGTGAGCTACAGCTCACTTCATCGGACTGAAATGTTTAATAGTTTTGTAATCAACATTACAAGTATTCCTTTTCTTTTTGCGGATACGGACTAACATAGCTGCTACTCTGAAACTTAATTACAGTTACTCAAAGCCCTTGCACAATGGCAATAATTAAACGCCAAACTTGTTTGAAAGTTTTGCTCTGTCTTCGGTTAACCAACTGGCAGAGTTCTAATAAATAACAGACCAAGATGTAGTTATCCATTTAATGAAGATAGATTAAAAAATGTTTGATTTCAAAGCTAGTCCTAAAAAGATGTCAAGCAGTATGCTCTTCTGGCACTTCAGTATGCTTTTGTAGCAGAGTTCCCTTTCAGGATAACAAAAAATATATTCCTCTTTTGGGGTTGGGGGGTGTTTACTTGGAAGCATCAGCTCACCATTTTGTAATGCTTGTTTTGTAATCTTGTGTTATCACTGTAACCCCACACTGAAAATATTTTGTACCCTTCAATTACAAATAATTGCTTTTTGTTCCAGCTTCTTATCTAAAGATAAGATTCAGTATATACTTACAGTAGGTTCTGTCGAGCTGCTACTAAATACCATGTTTTGTTATCACATGGTTGCATGGTGTCATAGTTCTACCTGCAAGCTGTTGATGTTGGCAGTGCTTCAGAAGTCTCCTTCCCCATTCCACACCAAGGTATTAGGTACCTTTACTATCTTTAATATAATATGTTCACCTGCTTTGGATTTCTTCAGGCTTATTAATAGTGTTTGAACATAAGAATTTTATTGTAAATCTGACAAGTTTCCAGACACTGAACAGCATATTTATTTTTTTAATATCTGTGAAAGATCAATAACATCTCTCATGCAGAAGATCCATTCAGGAAGCCGCAAACAGATTCATACCCTCTAAATTATCACTTCAGTGTCCTTGCACCTAAAAGTGTAGGTTTAAACTCTATTGTCTCCTCACAGAGAATAACTGGCTTAACTACACCTATAAAATATGCATTACTTGAAAAGAAGATATTTGACTCTAGAATTGTAGTAATAGTCTTACAGTAGAGTCCCCAGTCAGGATCCAATGAAGCCATATAGCCATATCTCTTCTTAGCAAATCTTTAAAAACTTGAGAGAGGGCCAAAAAGAGGGTTGTTTTTTTTTCTTCCTTGGACAGCATTTGTTTTTTCCAAATACAGTTTGGTATATGGTAAACTTGGTCACTGGCAAGATAGACTAAGATTAATACATCATCTTCTCTAACAAGCCAGTCCTATATCCTTCCTTTTCTGACTAAATCTTGATGCCTCATAACTCTTCTTCCTTTTACTTTTTTAAATCTATACAAGTGAAATTTCTCTGTAGCTCTGCCCACTCGAATGAAGTATCAGTGTAGTTTTTTTCACCTTTGTACAGTTGTCTTCTGATTCTGAATCACACATTGTTAGACTTAACTTGGGCATTTCCATGTCTTCATTATCAGATTACCTAAAAATACTTTCATGCACGTTAGCTGAGACAAAGTGTCTTGTTAGTATCATGCTTGTTTAAAATGTGTCAGTATGCTGAGATCTAAATTCTTTTGATTCCAGATCCCAACTTGAGTGTTCACTTGTCAATAACCTGGATATTGAAATACAATTACATGAGTAAACGTCTCCCTGGGTCAGAGACATCCATGTAGTTGAGTGTTTGGCTTATTGCAGTTTCATCTCTGGCAGAGCTACGTAGCTTTCCTGCAAATTCTTCTTCCTGCTTGTCTACACTTACATTTTATAGCGCTCTAACTTGCTGGCTCAGGGGTGTGAAAAATCACCCCCCTGAGCACAGCAAGTTTGAGCGCTTTAAAGCGCTAGTGTGGACAGGCTTCCCTGATGGAGGTGGATTACCAGGAGCGCTGGGAGAGCTCTCTCCCAGCACTCACGCGTGACCATACTCACGCTTCAAGGTGCTGCTGCGGGAGCGCTCCCGCAGCAGCGCTTTGAAGTTTCTACTGTAGATGTAGCCTTCATATGTGCTGCACAGTGTTCAGCTGAGTTACTTACATTTTTTGTCCCTAAATAACTTTTGAGTCTGTTCTTTTGGAGGTATTGAGCATCACTGGTTCTAGTTGACTTTCTAAAAACTCTCTCTTCTCTGAAGTAGATCAGGAGCTCCGCACTTCTAAGGGCTCAGCTTTTTAAATGGCTGAAATGCACTCTTGAAAATCTAGCCTCTGATAGTCTCAAAAGGAATGGACTTCTTTGAGGTACGATTTGAATAATGGATGAAAGTAACATTATGCTCTGTGTAGCACAATGCATGTCTTTCTGTAATGATCCTATGCATCTTTTTGAAACTGACAAAGTAGAAACATTTCAGCTTTCTTCAGACTGTGGACAAGACTTACTTGTTTTTCAAATGAAGTATAAAAGTGAAGCAACTGTTGGCTGACATGTCTAAGATAAAGCTTTGGGAGCTGGATAAGTATGCTCCTAAATTTTGGGCGGGGGGGCAAAACCCCACAAAACCACAATGAACTGAACTCTTCAGTCCCAAATATATGCTTAGAAACTGCTTCTCTGATGTATGTGGCTTTACAGTACCATGTTTGTGTGTACCTGCTGAGATCCTCCTATTAAGCCTCTAAATGGACATGCTCTGCCAGTTTACTTATTTTAACAAAAGGCAGAAACATTCCTGGGTTTTTTTTTTCTAGAGGCAAGATTATTGAAAATGCTCTGGAAGCTAGGAATCGGAGTTCTCTTGGGAGTTAACAGTTTTTGCTGCCAAGAAGTTAAAATTATTGAGCTATTTGTTGAAGCTTATTAGAGAAACCACATCTTGTATTACTAGCTTATTTTTGTCTTGCCTGTTTTTAAACTTTAAATTGATGCAGCCCTTAACGTCTAGTGAAATCAGTAATACTTTTTTGCTTGAAGTGCTACAGGATCTGATCCTTAATGTTTTTGATGGGGGCATTCTGTGCAAAATAAATGTGACTTTATGTAACATGAATATAACTTTACTACAAGCACATGTGTTGGGGGTGTTTCACCTCCCATAAAATAGTGTAGTTGGAAAATCTGATAGTTGCTATAGTGTTTTGGAAACATCATTCTCTAAATTGGTCAGGAGACTGGGCATTCATTGTTCACTGTCCAGCTCTCATCAGGGAGCCATTTCTTTCATAGATAGTAAAGCCTTCAATTTAGTTGCTGAAAATAAAATCATTCAAGGTGAATATCTTGCATGATTTAAAAGCTATCCTCAACAGGCTCTTCATGAAGATGTTAAATCTAAACTATTCCTTATTTAATATTACTGGAGACAAACATGATATAAAACACTTAAGATTATGGTGCGGGAAAAGAAGCTTTATCAGTGATGTTTGGATGACTTCCCTCCTTGTGGAAGTGTCTCTAGTTTTTATTGAGAATGAGGTTTTATATTTTTGCTGTGTTGACTACCTTGGGAATTGCAGATTTACAGAAGATGCTGTCTAAATTCCATGGCCTATCTCTCCTTTAGTGAGCCTTGCTCATAAATAGCAATAACTAAACAAAAGTAAAAATTCAAAGCAAATACTTTAAAAAAAAAAAAAGAAAGAAAGAAAGAGAGAGCGGGGGAAGGAGGCAAGAATGTGGATTATGCATGGACATACTCTTACCAGCACCATCTTATTTGTTGAAATAATTTCAGGTTACTCACTTGAGATTCTTGGAAGCTTCCAAAAAATTGATCCAAGACCACAGAGATAAGAACTAAATAAATGTCTAGACTGATTTTGCACTCTTCTAGCAGTTTGAGTTCACAAATAATATTCTCTTTATGCATTCTTATGTAGCTACAGTCAGTCCCTTAATAGAAGAACCATGTGTCCAGAACCAAACTACATAAAAGTTCACTATAAAATTCTACAAAGAAAACTGACAAAATTAATGTTCATTTTACATTCCCAGCTGTATGTTTTATTAGACAACAAAAAAACTTGTTGCGTGTAGAAATGAGATGTTGGCATGTGGATGTTTGAGGCAAAAATAAAATATGGATTCTAGAATAAAACATCTGTAAGCTGTCAGCTGTTCTTTCTCCCCAAAGAATGTGAAGGCAGATGCCTTGTCAAATGGCTCCAACCTGTGGGAGGAAGCAAGCTTGAAACAGCATTTTTCGGTTTCTTATGTAAGAATCCATGTGCCAAATTGTACTTGCCTTTAAACTTAGAAAAATGCCATCTGATTCTCTGGAGTGTTGAGAAATAAGTGCAGATCTTCTTCCTGGTAATACAACTGGAACCAAAGATGCCGAACTTCGTTATACATTTTTGACCTTCCTGAAATTTATCCAGGCAGTGTCATAGAAAGGAAATCCTGTAGAGGGTGTTTGGCTTCAATTCTATCTGGAAGTTTTCTTCCAGAGTCTGTTTTAACCTGAAATCCTTACTGGCAGCAGGACTTTTTCTGAGACCCTAACAGATGGTTCCATACTGTAATATACATTGTAGGGTTGTACCTCCTGGATCTGACTATGATTTAGGGCCAGATTTTCAAGAGCTCAGCTGTCATGTAGGTGCCTAAATGAAGTGGGCAGATTTTTCAAAAATTCTCCATCTGACAGCAATAACAGTAGCTAAATGCTGAAGGCTTCTGGAAATCTTGCTCCTAATGTTGACAACCTCTAGTGTGAGCATAACTATTTAAAATTGGATCAGATTTTTAAGATTGAGGGCTGGCTTTTTCTTTTCACTTCCACTGGTAGAGTGATCCAGTGGAAGTAGGGGAGGCGACCTGAGTGGCTGCATGTGCCCCTCTTCCTCACCTGTGGGTTTCTCTACATGGGGCATATGATCTAACCTCTAAAGATTTCAACAGAATTTATTGAAACTACTTGAATTCCAGGACACTTACAGAATTTTGGCATTCTCCCAAAAGGAACAATTGTTGACTTTCCCTTTGCGTTATCTAAGAACTTGGAGTTGGTCATTTTATAATCCCCAGAGTTGGTCTTCACTTTTATGGTAAAGAAACCCATTACCTCTGAATCTATTAAAAGGTATTTTTATTTTGTCTTTAGATGTGATTTAATTTTTCTTTGCTCCATTCCTGTTATCCTTCTTTGCATATGTACTGTAATTTTTCAGATGTTGGAAGAAAGCCCCTTTTCTCTCTGGCCTTACCTTTCCTTTCTAGTAATTCCATCCAGTTATTGTTCTAGAACATATTTTAACCCTTTGAGTAGTCAGTGAAAATGGGTTCACCTCTACTTTCGTGTCTTGTTTTGTTACTCATGTTATGATTTGTATGTTCCATGAAGTTGTACTGTACCTTAAACCTATTATGTTTTCTTGACATCTTGCACTATGCTGCAAGGGATTCAGGTTGTAAGGGTTGGCAAATCTTTTTTTCTTCTTAAAGCATCTGCCACAGCAGCAAATATTTGTGAACAAAATGGTAATTCATTAGTACTGCCTTGCAAAACTGTTGTGAAAACACAGTGGACAAGACACATACGTCTACATCCTCCTGGGATAATGTAGAAAGTGTTACTCATTTGCCAAAAACATTACTAACCTAGGATGTGTAAAGGTTTGCAAGACTTTGTTAATAAGACTTACAAATGATTAACTTTTGTATTCTTGAATACAGGGTAATGAGGCTGACAGATACTCTGTGTGTGGCACACCATGTGCTCATGTTACACACAGTGATGGAAACAGTATAAAGACCTATATAGAATGTGTAAATACATTGGCAAATGTTTTTTTTTTTATTCTTCTTCGGATGAAGAAACCATTCCACGTGTCTTAGGGTTTGTTTGTTTTTTTAGTTTAAATAAAAAAGGAAAGCATTTAAATTCCTGTGATTAGGGGACAAAAGTAAAAATCTTGATTAAGCATATAATTCCTACAGTATAAGAAGTGTTTGGTCTGTAAACATAAATGGGAAAAAATAATCTTTGTACCAGCAATTCTTGTCCTTCTTCAGAATGTTCTGCTTCTAAAGACTATGTTGGGGGTTAACCTGGTGTAAGGGTTAAAAGGTCTGTGCCTTCTTATTTATCATCCATTATTAAAACAAAATTTAAGCTCACAGTTACAAAAGCATTTGTAGTACTGTAAAGTGCACAAATTTACAACCATTGCTTCATTGCATGAAATATAGTCTGATTACTAGTGATGAAATATTGTAAGAATGAATTGCTAAGCTTATGAATGTTTTGAGACTTGATTTTTTTTTTTTTTTACGGTCTTCTCTTGGGCTGGTCCTGAGAGTGTACACAGTAAGTCTGTATTGTTGGTTTGTAGATGCTAATGAAGAAAGATAGACTTCTGATCTCTCTTTTTAGTTTGTATTGTTATAGTAGATACTCTGCAAACAATGAGTTAGCATATTGTAAACTGCTTTGTTTCAGCTTAATCATTCATAATAAACTTTTATAATGTAATAACATGCAAAATCACTACCAATGTGATGTATTGTGCAAAAAAGGTGTAAACATTTTATTAATAAAATGTTTTTATAAATGTGCTGGCTTGGTTTCAACAATTTCCCTAGCTATCGAACTCCTCAGAAATATTGTTACATCTCAGTATGTACAGCATAGTGTGTAGGAAGAAGGTTGTAGGAAATACCCCAAGGAAAAAGTGAGTACAAGTAATACTTCAAACATATAATTTTTAAAAACAATGCTACACCTACCATTTTCCATCTAAAAGTTGAATGTTTGTTGCAGGTGCACACACCAAGCAACACAAGACAAACTTACACAAAAGGAGAGAGAGTAATAACAAAGACAGGAAATGCAGCATCTGTCTTTAATGCTTCCTTTCATTTGCCACCTAGCGCCTGAGAAAATATAGACCATCAGAGTTTCATCAGCCACTCCAGGACCTGGCAAACATTTACCAGTCTCAGGCTGTTTAATGCATTGCTTTTAGCTTGCTTTTCTAGTTGCAGGCTCACAGAAGTGTTACACAAGCTGGTATTGTTTTGATTGGGTAAACCAGAACTTCTGTTAAACTGCAGTTTTTTAAAAAAACATTGTTTTTTTTTTTTAATCGTGTCTTAAATCCCTCCCCGCCCCCCCTTTATTTGTCAAATGTTACCTAATGAAACTATGTATTTATGGCCAGGTCTTCAGTGTATGTACAAGAACATAGATTAAACCTGTCAATTCAACATAACATACAGTAGGCTCTAACCAGATCAAACTTGTCTTTGCAGCTGTGGAATCTGCAATAGTTCTTATTGGTTACATAAGCTAGGAAGACCCTTCTCTTTTCACCCTACTCCTTCCCCTGACTGCACAGACCCCTGCTGTGTCTGTGTAAAATGGATTTTGGCATTGTCAATTTAAACCAAAATCTCAGGAATGGAGATTAATGCTATTCATATATGGTTTGGGTTTTTGAGTATGAGGCTGAGGGACTAAACTTTGTTCTATAGAAACAATATACATCTGCAGTTGTGTATACAAAACATATCTGTAATCATATGACTAACCTGAATGTTCACTCCCTGCAGTTTTGCACACAATTAGCTAATCGTGGTCATAGGTGCATGCAGTTCCGGGTGTGCCTGTGACATGGTAGTTAGGTGAGCAATTGCATACACATTTTGCATGTGTAACTTACTTAAAAATAAGACGAGCATAAGAAACATCTCCATCTTGTAAGTATAAAACCATTAGAGTGAAGCAGAAGTGCTCTAAACTACAAAAATGGAAAAGAGAATAATACATAAGAACGGTTTTCTGTAAAGATGTCTTTAACCACCAGTGAGCAATAGACTGAGCAGAAATGCAGATCACTGAGTCAGTTTAAACTAAGGCTATTTATCCAAAAGTCCTTTTTTTTTTTTTGGTCTCTTAGAGTTTGGAACATCCAGTTTGATCTAGAGTATGTGAATCTTTCTGGGAGGTGATACACCTCTGGCGCTACTACAATCTGAGTGACCTGCCTTAATCACTGCCCATTGTTTTTGGTTCCTGGAGGAGGTATGGCAGCCCTCCCTCAAGCGGTAGGACACAATCATACATAAACTCTTCATTTAGTACAATGGACCCCAAAGATACTTAAACTTAATTCAATAAGGCCTTCTAAGGATATGGCAGGAAGTTGCCATGTCTGTCAGTCACAAAGCCATGTGCTGCTGCTGTTGTGAGGTCATGCCAGCATCATTGTGCAGCTTCTGCAAATTGTGTATGAAGTGAGTGTATTTGGTACTTCATCTTGATGTTTTGATCAAGGAGCATCTTTGTCCCTACCTGCTGATGTAGAAGGAAAAAATGGACTGCCGGTGTTTGTCCAAGTCTGTCTGTCTGAGCCAGAAAGAGAAGAGGCAGCCAAGCTGACTGAAGACTATTCCTCTTGGTCACTCCACACAGCTGTTACCATTGGGAAGCAGAAAGAAGAGGGTTCCTCCACAATAATAAAGGGGGGTGCAACATCCTCATTGAACCCAGAGGTCAAGTGTTGAAAAAGGCCCCCCAACCTAATTAACAGGCTCCTCCTTTTTCCTACAAAGGGAACTGCTGTAGGCCGTGACTTGAGCAGCTTCCGCATCCTGGATAGCCCTAGCAATGGAAGAAGAAAGAAAGTGAGAATAGGGAGGCCCACTATATATTTACTTGTGCCCCCTTCCCCTCTGAGCATGTCAGATGCCTGCTTGCAGTTGACACTTTGTCCCTTTGCTTGTTGGGAATCTCATCCCCCTGACTTGGTTGGCCTGATGCAGTTAGTCAGTTACTGATCCTGCTGCAGCTTACATGCACCACTAGGTTGAAGAGTAGCTGGTTAAAGCTGAACTCAGGCAAGATGGAGGTGAAGCTGGTAAGAAAAAGGAAGCCTTAAAGAACTGCCTCCACTAACAATAGCATCTGCCTTCCGCCTGCTTGCAAAGCCAGACTCTGTTATACTAGGCCCTCTACAAACATGTAATAAATGGCAGTCTTATGTACACATCCGACGCTGAGCCTGACCCAGCTTCCATCAAGTCAACAGAAAGGTGGCTTCAGTGGGAATTGCATGGAAGGTTCAACAACGTTTCCTATATAAATGAAATCTTTTAGTTACATACTAAAAATGTGTGTAGACCTTTATAAACAGTGCCTTCCCCTCTTAGTGTGTGAAGGCAAGCTATCAAAATACCCTCTGCCCTACACCTACCTAGGAATTTATTTTTAGCCAAACTTGATTAGTGTGGGATGCTAGAATTTTAATTAAAAGGTCTGTTGCAATGTGCTTCTAGCTAAAGGATTATGGTCAATGTAACATAGAAAACTGTCAGTAAGGTCTGCATAGGATCAATTATAAATGTATATAGAAGATGGAAATGAAACCCTCTCCTTAGTTACTACCTAGTACTAATGCTATAAGCATGCAGTATTCCCCTTCCAGCTTTTGATACTATACTTTTAAGATGTTTAACCAACAGCAGACTTCACAAAAGCAAGAAATTTTGGAGAAAAAAAAAAGTGTATTAATGATAGTGCTATTTCACTTTGTTTCAAGATCTTTATTTTGTCAGAAAATATATTTCAGCATCTTTCTGTCAAGGAGCAAGGTTGCAGTTGACTTGGGAAATAGATATTGGTATGTCTTTGCCGCAGAAGCAATAGAAAAACTTGTTTAATGCATAATGCTCGCTACTGTCCTCCTGCCATCATTTAAGGTATTTCTTTGGCCATGTGCTTGCATAACAGAAATGATTGTGCTTGGGAAAATGTACAGCTAGATCCAAATGTTCAGCGTTGAATATGAATGTACTGGCAAGAAAAATAGTATGCCCCCAGAACCACATCTTTGCACCTGGAAGTTAGATAACTGCATGCAAACTGCCTGATTTGTGCACAGAACTTGTGAAGATGCAGCTTCCCCAATGTAGCCCAAGTCTAACTCAATGTTTAAGGTAAACAGTTTTATTAGTTAGAAGAAATAATTCCAGCACACCGCTCGAGAAGGAGTTTACAGTCAGATAAGGGTACTCATCCATACTACCCCACCTCTACATTAACAATTTGCCTGGCAACAAATTACCATATAGTCCCACCATTACTGGATTGTTAAAAAATTCACAGTTGAGCCTGTAGGTGGTTTTGGTGTATGCCCAACTCTGCAAATGTGATCCCTACAGCACTAAATATACACAGTTAATCACTTGTAACAAAAGCCTGACAAACTATGTTCATTAGGTTCATAATTTTTCACTTTCATGACTAGAATTTTTACATGCTTAAACATTTCATGCTGGAAGCAAACATAGGTGAGCCCTCCAAAACCAAGCATATGAGTCAGGTTCGAAGATGCCAGTCACATTGCACTCAGTAGAATAATGCAACTCTACAAATCTTTTAGATCACCAAATGTTTTTAAACATCCTTGGCTCCTCAGGCACAAGATCTTTGAAAAGGTATAAGCAGCATATTGTATGCTTGCTTGTTTATTTACTTTGGGTAAATATACGTTTCCTCTACAGAATTTTTAGGATACTTGGAATTCTAAGATTTTCCTCTGACCTGCTCTGAATCCTGATAATATTTTATAAAAACGAAGCTTTGTACCTGTCTGCAAGCTTTCTACTGATTGCTCTTTATGGTTATGGATTGATGCCCAGCTTAATGGGGTCAATCTGTTTATGAAAATAAATAAAACAATGTAAGAGGTTATCAGAACTGTAGAAGGCAAACTTCAGAGTATCATAAAATTATAATATGGAGAATAGGTGGCCTAAAGAAGTTCTGTACTTTCTGGAGCAGTAAACATATGAAATGTCCTCTTGTTTCAAATCTGAATGAATGTTGCTTGATAATTTTGTTTTATGGTGGTGCAGTAAATTAGAACCCGACAAAGGGCAGTAATAGTTGGCCAGAGTGTCCCTGATTCCAGGCCAGTAGAATGGAAGTGAGGGACATTCCAGGCACAGGGAAAAAAAACAAACAAAACTGCACGGTTCACCTTGTGCATTATTTGACCATTTTTCCTCCATCTAGAAAAAGAATTTGGCCACAATACAATTTCCCATTGAAGTCAATGGTAAAACTCCCCGACTTCAGTGGTGCAGGTCAGTTTTGCCCATAATCAGTTGTCACTTATGCTACATAATATGGAAAATTAAATGCTATAAAATAAAAAAAAAATCAAAGATGCTCCCCAGCAAACGAAAACAAGATGGAACAGGTTGAGTATCCAAAGAGAGACCAGGTCAGAGCAGCTGAAACACAGCAACAAATATGGAGAAGAGCAGCTGAAGTATTGGTATGTGGTATAAATACTGCAGAAACATACTTGTACAGACTTCTTTGGGGTGCAGATCATAATATAACTATTCCACTTAGTGATGCAAATTTTCACGACCATCAATCATTCCCTACTGCTCATGTTGCCAAAGACTAGAGCCTTGTCAATGCAAAGCTCAGGTCCTCTTAGCTCTGTATATATTATTTACATGTGTTTGGATGAAAGTATTCAGATTATATACAGTTATAAAATCTGTGTGTTATACATTTCTATTTTACATACGAAACAGATGGAGTTTGTATCAATATGATAACTGCAGAGCATTGTGAAAAAATGAGTTTATCACCTTTTTCTGCCTATTAATCCAGTTAATTGGGACTTTAACAAACCAAACACCTATGCACCTTCAACAGACACCCCTTTTAAAAGTCAACCTGCCTCAAGATTTTCTCATTCCTGTAAATGGGAATCCACCCCCCCCCCCCCCACTCCCCTACACACACATTACACCTCTCCAAGGCCTAGGATAGGCAAAATTCAGCTCTGAATGAATGAGTTTTTCTGTATGTAAAAAATCAGACTTTATAGACTATAATCTTTGCTGCTATTCCAAACTCCAGCTTGATTAAACTGTTATACCATACCATCATATATTCTGTATGCCACATCTGTACAGAAACACTATTTTAGCAATGTTTTAAAGTTTTTAGAAATCGTATTAGAATTTTTTAATCACCTGATGCATAAAGCCAGATGCTTTAATTACTATGAGTTAAATTAGTACAAAGCTCAGAGAGAGTCTTAAAACACCTAAAAATAACATAAAACTGCTTTTCCTATACATAAAAATCTCAGTTTTAAAGTATATCTTAGTCCATTCCAGGGCTAGCTGTGAGTACTGGGCTCCATTGGAAAATCAGAATTTCCCCTTTTCTGTGGTCTAAAAATCCAATCTCCAGATACAGAGTCATGAGACATCAGACTTTAAACTCATGATGTTATGTACAGAAAAGTTATTAACAGATATCTTTAATGCCTTGGACTGGGGTAATTTTGCAGACTCAAAATTCCACATTTAGAGTCAGAAGATGGAATTGTTTCTTTATCCCTTTGATGGTTTTTTAATTATTATTATTTAAAGCTGTTCAGGAGAATGGAATATTTGACTAAATCCTAGGGACACAGATTACAGGGCGCAAAAGTACAGATGAGGTGGTCAAAGGCGCATGATTCATTTATCACCATGGTTCTGCAATTTATCATTTTGATACCACCTCCACCTGTAAACAAGAACCTTTCATTGCTCTTCATCATCTACCATACTCAACGAACTCACTGCATAAATAAAAGTGTTTCTGCAGCTCTGGTCTACAGAATCAGGTTCTAAACAAACAGGATGAAATAAAGCTGCCATGAGATGATGGAGGTAAATACGGTACTTTTTCTTATCTCAGTACTACGGGAAAGAATGGAGAGTCTAAATTGCATATTCAACACTTTTTCATACGTCATTTAAGTATTGCTTGTTATTTGCTGGGCCTTTTCCTCTTTACTACTACATTTTTTTGAGCTATTTGTAGAGGCAAGTGAACATCTTACAATTCAGAATAAATACTCTTGGCCATGTTAAAGACTGGTTCTTGTATCTAACAAGTCTATCCCTATCTGCTTCAGGCTGCACCCAAGTTCTGCACGGACTATTCAAAGATTGTGCACTTAGCCTGCTGCATGCTTTACCTAGGCTCTGCACCCAACCTGCTGTGTGGTATACTCTGGCATTTCACATTATCCCTGGCCAAGTTCTAGCTCTGCACAGTTCCCACAGACTGTCCCCTGCAGACTATTCTCAAGGTATATGTCGAGTCCAGCACCTGTTTCACCCAGACTGAACCCATCCTGGTCGTGATATTCCCAGGATGCAAGTCTAGCCTATTCCATACTGCTCCCAGACTGTTAAATTACGCACCTACCTAAATACCACCTTAAACTATGTATCTCTACTATTGCATCATATCCCTATTATTCCCAGGCTCTATAACCATCCGGCACATGCTGCGCCCTGGCTTAGCAGTCAGCCCAGCATGCACATTTTGTGGTCTGCACCATCCCAATCCCACAACCAGACAAGACAAGCTACTAGCCAGTGCTCTCAAGACCAGAATTTGGCACCCTTACTGCTACTAAGTAGTACTTTCCAAGTAGTTCTTCAATTTAAATACATGGGGCTGCTTGCAGAGAGAGCTACAGGAGTAAGGGTGGCAGAATCCAGTCCTGGGCCCACCAAAATCACCTGTTGCCTTCACAAATTGCTCCTCCCAAGCAATGCACTCAGTCTGGTGCACGTTCTACTCTGGCCTTGCACTCTCCTTCCCTCCCGCTCCCACCCTGCTCAGTGTGGAGCTGACCTGGCCCTGCCTTACGCACTCCCCTTCTCCAGGGCCGGATTAACACAGGGGCTTTAGGGGCTGCAGCCTCGGGCTAAGAGGGGGCCCCCACAAAAATAAATCCATAATTATATACCATTCATTGGTTAGCAACCCATTGATTGTGATCGACTGGTCGATCCTGGAGCCTCTGCCAGTCAATCGCGATCTCCGGGCTGCTAGAAGTCCAGCAGTGCAGCAGGGCTCATGCAGGCTGCCTGCATGCCATGGCCCCACGCCACTCCCGGAAGCAGCCAGCTGCTGGTACATCTCTGCGGCCCCTGGTGGGTCGGGGAAGGGGGCGGGAGGCTCCATGCACTGTCCTGTCCCCAGCACTGGCCCAGCCAATGGGAGCTTCAGGGGCAGCACTTGCGGGCACAGACAGAGCATGGAAACATGCTGTTGCCCTCTGCCCAGGGGCGCACAGAAATGTGCCAGCAGCTGGCCGCTTCCAGGAACGGCTTGTGGCTATGGTAGGCAGGCAGGTAGCCTGTCTGAGCCCCGCTGCGCCGCCAGCCAGGAGCCACTGGTGCTAAGCACTTCCCGGCTGGAGCCTGCACCTTGCACTCCCTCCTGCACCACAACCCTCTGCCCCAGGTCAGAATCCCCTCCTGCACCCAAACGCCCTCCCAGAACCCGCACCCCCACCCCAGGTCAGAATCCCCTTCTGCACCCAAACACCCTCCCAGAGCCCGCACCCATCACCCTCTCCTGCACCCCCACCCCAGGTCAGAATCCCCTCCTGCACCCAAACGCCCTCCCAGAGCCCATGCCCCCTCCTGCACTCCCACCCCAGGTCAGAATCCCCTCCTGCACCCAAACACCCTCCCAGAGCCCGCACCCATCACCCTCTCTTGCACCCCCACCCCAGGTCAGAATCCCCTCCTGCACCCAAACACCCTCCCAGAGCCCGCACCCATCACCCTCTCTTGCACCCCCACCCCAGGTCAGAATCCCCTCCTGCACCCAAACACCCTCCCAGAGCCCGCACCCATCACCCTCTCTTGCACCCCCACCCCAGGTCAGAATCCCCTCCTGCACCCAAACACCCTCCCAGAGCCCGCACCCATCACCCTCTCTTGCACCCCCACCCCAGGTCAGAATCCCCTCCTGCACCCAAACGCCCTCCCAGAGCCCATGCCCCCTCCTGCACTCCCACCCCAGGTCAGAATCCCCTCCTGCACCCAAACACCCTCCCAGAGCCCGCACCCATCACCCTCTCTTGCACCCCCCACCCCAGGTCAGAATCCCCTCCTGCACCCAAACACCCTCCCAGAGCCCGCACCCATCACCCTCTCTTGCACCCCCACCCCAGGTCAGAATCCCCTCCTGCACCCAAACACCCTCCCAGAGCCCACACCCATCACCCTCTCTTGCACCCCCACCCCAGGTCAGAATCCCCTCCTGCACCCAAACGCCCTCCCAGAGCCCACACCCATCACCCTCTCCTGCACCCCAACACTCTGCCCCAGCCTGGAGCCCCCTCCTGCACCCAAATGCCCTCCCAGAAAGAAACGACTATGACAGCTGTCCTAAGGTAAGAAGTAGGCTATTTTGAATTAACTATATTCTACATGTTTTAAGACTGAAATAGAACCACAGAACAGCTCTATGGTAATGAAAAGGCAAGTTCAGTATAGCGTTAATAGCCTCGCTGCCATAACTGGGATCATTTTGTTTTAAATTAGGGAAAAGACTTGTATACAGGGGCGCCGCAAATAGCCTAATAGCCCAGTGCCCGCAGGAGAGTTAATCCGGCCCTGGCTTCTCCCTCCGCGCAGTGTGCCCTGGCCCAGCCTCAATCACTCCCTCTCCTTGCGCCTAGCTGCTGCGCCCCGGCCCTGCCCTGCGCGCTCCCCTCCCCCACACTGAGCGCCGTGCCCCGGCTGGCCCTGCCTTGCGCGCTCCCTCCCCTCGCCCCGCCCCGCCCCGCCCCGCTCCGCGCGCTCCCCTCCCCTCGCCCCGCCCTTGCCCTGCCTCGCGCCCTCCGTGCTGCACCTTGGCCCCTGCCCCGCTTGCGCGCTCCCCTCCCAGCCCCGCGCGCTGCGCCCTGGTCCGCCGGGCCGCTCGGTGCCGCGCGCAGGGGCTGTTCGCTGTGGCGGCGGCTGGAGGGCGACGTCAGCGGTAGCCTCTCTCTGGGCCCCTCCGTGCTGCATTATCCCCGCCCCCTTCCCCGCCCAGGGACCCTGTGAGGGGAGCGTGTGCGAGCCCGGAGCCTCCTCGCCGCGCAGCCGCCGCCTGACGCCCCCACCCCGTCTAGAGGCGCCGCTGCCGCTCCCCTTCCTCCCGCCCGCCGGTCACCCGCGGCTCGGGGGTTATTAAACCCGCCGGGCGCGTCCCCGCTGTCCCCACCCCCCTCCCGGTGCCGCCGCCGAGGAACATGGCGAAAGTGGAGCAGGTCCTGAGTCTCGAACCGCAGCACGAGCTGAAATTCAAAGGTGAGGAGCGGCCGCGGGGCCCGGCGCTCCCTCGGCGGCCGCTGCCAAGGGCTGGGCTCCAGCGGCAGCCATTTTCCGGGGGCTGGCGCTCGGCTCCAGCGGCTCAAATGTCCTTTGCGGGCCCTGGCCCGCATCCCCGCCGCTCTGCGGGCCTCCTACCGCTCCCTTGGGGGGGCAGGCGGCGGTGCCCCCGGGGGTCTGCGTGGGGGCGCTGGGTGCTTCCGTCCGCCCCTAGGTCTGGACCCCCGGGGCTCTGCTCCGGCCTCGCCCCAATCCCCCGGCACCAGGCATGCCGGGAGCCCTGAAATTGCGAGGGACCACAAAGAGTGGGGAAGGGGTGTGAAATGTTTCTTGTCCTTTTCTGGGGTGTTTCCTGGGAAGGAGGGGGTGTCTTGTAGTGTGTGTGTGTGTGACACACACAATTGTGTGGTGTTGTGTAGTCAGAAGACTCCAGCTTCAGATTTCTCAGCTTCCCCCCGCCCACTCCAGAGAAGCCCTACACTGAAATAATCTGACCTTCTATGTCGCCTCGGTGGTATCATTAGGACAGGATGAGAAACAACCCTTCTACCTTTTTTCTTCTATGTATGATTGCTCTCTGCCTTGAGTTTGTCTCATGGTGGGTGTAATTCAGTATGACTATATATATGGCGTCTTTTATGTGAGCTGTATCCTGACATACTCCTATGGATTAAATAATCTGATTGTGGTCTTAATTACTAGCTCTGGCTGCTGTGATTTTTAGAGGTGTAGTCAAAGAAGAATAAAAATATTTTACGCTGAGATAGAAGCCACCACTTGGCATAAGTGAATGGTTTTGTGGCTCCTACTTCCTGGAGCAGCTTTACAGCCATCTGAAAGCTGTCAGAATTACATGTAGCTGGACCATACAGGGCCCTGGAACATGTGGAATGGATTTCAGTTTGTGTATGAAAGAAAATCTGGGATTTCTGGCCTTGAATCTGGTAATATTTTTTTCTTTATTTTATAAACTTCTAAAATAAACACATTCCTAATAATATGTTCAGGATTTTATTTTAAAGAAGAACCTCCTGTGAACAGATTAACTTTATTTGCTCTTAAATTATGATGTTACAGCAGTCCAGTCCATCAAGTTGTAACACAATCTACTTAAGTTACATATCAACATTGATAAATTTGCAATATCCCTATATATTTGTTAACTTAGTCATTAATAAATATCTCAAAAATAATATGGTAAACAGTTATTAAAAAGAACAAAAACATAGTAACAAATATGATATGGAGTGAATGTTTTTATTTTGTTGCAAATTAAGATAATTGCATGTTGCCAAGGCAATAATGAGTTAAACAAAATTTAGAAGCAAACTATTGCAGTATAATATAGTAATATAAAAATAAAAATTTAGCCAGTAATTTCCATTCCAAAATTATTTCCATCAGATTTAAAAATCAGCATCGAATGTGTATGGACAAAAGTACTGACCTTTAATCAGCATTCAGTTGTGACTGAAACATAATAATTATTTGTTGGGGGGCTGGAGTTGTACATTGTTTCTCTTTCACAAAACACAATCAGTTTTAACAACTCCCAAGATCTGCTGGGATAGAGAGATGACCAGTTGTTGATCAAATAATGCACAGCTTCAAGATTCAGGACTAAACTGTTAGCATCAGTGAAATTGTCAGCTACTCACTAGATTTTATTTATTTTACAGCCATATGACAGGAATAGTAATGTGTGAAGGACAGTGATTTCTACGGTTTGATATACTGTAGCATTATGATAAGAGGAAACATACCATGTAAATGTCAAGTGACAATTTTCAGATATTAAATGACTTGATTTAAACTTGTGCTTAAACATCTACACTAGAACAAGATTTATCATAATGCATCTTTGGCATGCAAAGATTCAATTATTAGTAATTTTTAGCCAGTTTCCCTGGGGAAAATACCACAGATTTGTTCAGAAAAGTCATATTTTAAGTAATCAGGAAGTTTATTCTGCTCTGGGTAGTGCTTATGTGACCTTTTTTTTTAATTATGTGTTACCTATGAATATGTCAGACATTTCATTTTTCAGCTAGGTACCCTTATTTTAGAAGGGATATTTTGTATCCTATTAGTAGATAAGAATTGCTGAGAGATATCAATAGCAGAAGATACTCCATTCCTTTATATCATTGTGTGCTGCCATGGTGTTCTTCCCTGGAAGATCTCGGAGAACTTTGTAGACACTAGTGACGTCAGTGAAGAAGGATTTTGATCTAAGTTTCATAATGCATATGTTGGATATGGGCGGTATAAAGATCTCGGCACTGAAATAAGGAGTCTGGTGGCACCTTAAAGCCTAACAGATTTATTTGGGCATAAGGTTTCGTGGGTAAAAAACCCATTTCTTCAGATGCATGGAGCCAGTTCAGAGTTGAAAACAGAGGTGAAGTCTCCAACTCTAAAATTATTATACCGCTCTGTTACTTTGGAAGACTAGAAAGATGGTTACCACCTTGAAGAATATATCCAGAGGTGGAGAGCATGCTGAGCTGTAGTATAATGTTGAGAGAGTCTTCCTTGGGATAGACAAGAGAGGGGTTGCTGCCAATTCCTCATTTTCAGGTTACCTAACGTTGTCCATTGTAAGAGATTTTTTTATGCCATTTTTGAAAATCTCTTACACCTCCATTGTTTGCAGCACACCTTTGAAATTCAGCTATGGCATTAGGTCTTTTATTTGTACCAGGGCATGCTGTTCAGGTGTTGTTAAAATCTAATCTGTTTGAAAAAATCACCATTCTTTTTCCCTCACTTGCTATGGCAGGCTGTCAAAATAAGTGAATGTGAACCTTCTATAGCCAAGCACCCTCCACTACCAAGGCAACATCAATGGACTAACCACATACTAAGCTGGAAACTTAGCTAGAGAGGGAAGAAGGAGAGTGAGAGCAAGACCAGGTTCTCCGCTCCCAACCCAGCATATGGCTACAGCAAACCATTCCCTCCACCTCCCCCAGCCCTAGCATCATTTGGAATAGGAGCCTGAACCCCATGTGGTGAAAGAGCCAGTCAGGCTGCCCTGCTCCCAACCCCTTGTTAACTGCCTTCTGCTGTTGCTGGCCAATGTAGTTAGTCCTGTAGCTCAAGTGGTAGACGTTTTTGCTGAAGGTTCAGGGTTCAAACGCTAATGATGTACGATGGAGAGAACTGTTCGAATTGTGTGTGTGTGTATATATATATATATATATACACACACACAATTTCCTTGTAAAAACTAGGAAATTAAATGTAAAAAACTGTTTAAAAGAATATTATTTAGATTACAAAGTCAAGCACTTGAAACATTTTGATAGTTTTTAATTACATGATCATACTGTTTTTTCCACAGGACTCCTGCCTCATTGAGTGTACAGTATGGATCCCCAAGGGGACAAAATTAAAATTGTATAGACACCTTATTGAAAACTAGTTTTAGAGACATGATTGGTCTGTTAATGCCAGCAAGTACAACTTCATTAGGGAGTAACCATTTTAGGACTTAGCTTATTTTAAATATAATTGTAATGCTGTTGCTTCCTGCCCAGGTTGGGGAGATGTAAGGAAGTGTTCTTTAATACAGTAGTCAGAGAAGTTACTAAAATGAAATGGCCTGGATTGAGCAGATGAGATCTTGCATCAGCTTTCTTAGAGGCTAGCCACAGGTAGGCCCTGCGTTGTGAATCAGCAGTGTGCTGTGGTGCTCCCCAGTTGGGAAATAGGAATACTGCCAAATGCATGAATTTAACAACTTGGAAGACAGACCAATAAGAATTACTTCCAGTTGGAAATGCTGTTTCCTGTTCCCAGTGCACAAGCACCTGCTTCTGCATATATGTTTTATGACTCCATGTAACTTCATTTTCTGAAAAGAGCAGAAAAATAACCCTGGAATGAGGTGTACACTTTACTTTTCCTGTTTAATCATAAACACTTCTTTGGCATTGGCTTGAGGCTTGGTAGTGTTTTTTGCAAGCTATCTCTGTCATTAGTTCAGACTTACCCTAAATCCCTTAAATCTGAAAGTGGATGTCTGATGCTTAGGGTAGTTCGTGAACTAGGGTTCTCAGTCCAGTTGCTTGTGGTAATCTTTGTCTACTACAAGCAGCTCATCAGCATAATTGACTATTGCTATCAGTCTCAGCAGAGAGGCTAAGGACTGAATAGGTCATGGAGATGAAACTATCCTGTCTCCTCTACATGTGGTTTCTATACTCCAAGTTCTAAGCATGCTGTTGGTAAGGGTTCTTAGGTAAGAACAATGCAAATTTCCAAAATGTTGTATCTGTGTTGTGGCTAAATGGGGATTTCCTGTGTTGTCACTAGAATGGGTGCTGATCTGTGTACACAGAAATCATTTAAAAAAATCTTCTTAAAAATTGCCCTTTAGATATGAATAAAGAACAAAACTGAAAAAGCATACAGTGCTTTCTTTAAACTCTTAGAAACCATGAGCCTTTCTGGATTCATGCATAATGGCAGTCTGTACTAGGATTTCTCTACTCCCATCTATTTGAATACTGCTGTATGAATAGCTATCCACTACTCTGTTGGAAAACTTATCAGTTCACATTTCACTTTGATTAACAATCAGTTACATAATTAAAGTAAGTGGTTTTGTACTCTCTCAGAAAAACATTAATT